AAAATGGGAAGAATTATGGTGAAAAGACGGACATATTTCCACTTGGACTCGTATGGTTTGAGATGCTCTGGAAAATATCTACCGGTAGAGAGAGGGCAAAGGTCAGTAGTATTTAATGACAGTATGCATTACCAATATTTGCACCAAAAAAAAGTGTGTTTTAGTTTTTAATCTTTTTTTTGTTTGTTTGTTTTTTACGTTGCAGCTGTGGCCAGATCTGAGAAATCAAAGGTTTCCGGAAGGTTTCTGTGACTGTTATCCGACTGAAGTAAGAAACATGATTTTACCTTCAAATAAATATTGATTAAATTAAGTTTAGCCTATAATTTAGCAATGCTTCTTTTTCAGAATAAATTCATCAAGGAGATGCTGTCCTTTACACCGGAGGACAGGCCACAAGCACAACACATCAAAGAAAAACTTGAGTTGTTTTTCTCTCTGGATCAGAACCTGTTAAGCCAGAAAACAATATGAGTTTGTTTGGTATTGAAACAGTAGTTTGGTAGAATACACTCAAAATAATGTTTTACCGCAGAATACTTCTGACAGGCTACAACTTTGTGTTTTGACGGTTTTATTGATTTATTCATGATTTAGTGAAATGTTTAATGATCTCTCATTAAGGTGTTAATATAAAAGCATAAAATATATAGAGAATAACTCAAATTTCCTAGGATTTCTTCAAGTAGGCTATATTTTAAATATTGACAAGGTGCAGGTCAGTCTCAATCTTCGTTTATTTTTTAAAATATACATTTTAATCATGTTGTGAGGCTACTTTTTACAAAACCGAAAAAAAGAGAAAAAAAAAACTAGAATGTAATTTCACAACATTACTGTAATGAGGCTGCAATATTAAGATGTATTTACAATTGCTACTAAAGTATCATGTTTCTCAAAGTTGCAATTGGATTTGGTTACAATGTAACCAGAATGCAACATTGTGTAATGTGAAAACATGTTGTGCATGCTGGGAACATTTCTGCTCAAGTTGATTTTTTGACAAATGTATATGAAAAAAAATAAAATAAAAAATAAAATGTGTCATTAAGTATGTGTTGTTAATGCTTACAATACTTATAATAATTCTTAATATATTGGATAAAATATCAAACTTACATTTTGTTATAAATTATGTTCGTTTTTTATTACAATAATTTTACATTTGCAGTAAACATTAATTTTATTTCATTGCTTTAGTTTAAAGTAATTATACCATTGTGCCTTATAAAATTCCATGCATGTGTTTTGCTCGATCTGAAATATTTCAATCATTATTTTCTTCAGAATATTGCTTTGACTGGTAATCATTTTATAGCCCCCCCCCCCCCTCCTTACTGATGGAGGATGGCAGTGCTCGTCTACTTCCACTAGGTGTCGCTGTTACTGCGCTAATATTCGCACGTGCATTTCTGTTCTACACAAAGTCTGTAAGGCTTTTTGTTATTTTTCCATAAATATACACGAGATTAATGTTAATGTTGGATTATACTCATTCATGTCGAAATTAGTGCAAACGCGAGATACGGCCCAGATAGATTCATCTCCGACTTCGCTGTTGGTGTTGTTGCCTTTAATGTCAAAATTAATATATCATGTTAATATATTATTATTAATAAATTAATATATTATCAAAATGTATATGTTATTATTAATAAACACACAGACTCAAAAATGTAATACTATTAGATAAAAAAATATTATTACTCCGCCAAGCAATGTAGTTCTCCAGAAGGCGAATGACGCTGTGGTGCAGTAATACTAATGTAATGCGGTCACTGTGGCGTATGTTTATTTCGCAAATCCTGCAAAGTTTTTTTGTTTTCATTTTAAAAAGAATGTATGTACATTTATAACACTACACTTTGTATTATATTCCCTTTTCATCAAATTACAAAAAACTACAACTGTGAAGTGAGTGAGTGAAGGTTAAGTTGACATATTTTTCTCTTGCGAGTCCGACTGTCGTTATCAATCTCTCTCTGTTTGTTTTCCTCTTTTTAAAGTTGTGAAACAATATTGTGGAGCTTTATTTTGCTATTTGAGCAAATGGGCAACACAAAAAATATATATTTTATGCCATAGATGTTAACCCAATTATGACGACTTCCGCTTCTGAGAAACAGAAGGCATTTTATAATAACATAAATTACACACTGACTGACTGGCATACCTCAAACGTGAATTTTGTAGTCTTTTTAAGTGCAGAACGTTGCTAAATAAGTGTATTAACCATACTGACGTAAGTTAGCCTGTCATAAAACATGTTGAAATATAAATTAGAAATGTGAATACTTAGACAAACTGAACATTTGTGATGCTTTTTTGTCCTTTCAGTTCATAGAAAAGAGCAGCATGAACATTATTTTGTCCGTTTATGCTCCACGGAAGAAAGAAAGTTTAGGAAAAGGTGAGTAAATGATCAATTACAACATCGATAATACATTCAAATTAGTGGCCCAGATTGTATAATATTTATTTAGCTTTTATATGAAGCTTTCTTTGTCCAGAGAGACATATGCCAACTCTTACAGTCATGAGGCCAAGCGCTCTGTTGTACGTCTGAATGAATGGAGGCATTTGACAAAACAACACTCTTTTATAATGGACGAGTTACAAAGCATAGATTGTAAAAAAAAATAAAAAAGAAGATATGAATGAGTATATTATTAGCAAGATCAACCATTGTTTACAATAACTGTTTAGTCAGCAATATATATGTTCACTTGATAATATATTTTAAGGGTTTATGTTATAACCTATAAAATTAGTCTTTGTTATTTCATTTTTGTTGAAATAATGCAGGTAATCCGATCCAGTCACTGAATCTCTAGACAAGTAATTTTGATAATTTCTCTTTTATTAATGTAGAAAACAAAGTCGGACAAATTCTTACAAAGTGACACGAGTGCAAAAGCTAACAAAGATATACAAACTGTACAATCAAACACTAAAAATGCATTTATAAAAACAATGGACAACAATCCAACCACTAATTCTGAACATTTCAAAATAAATACTTTTTTATTGTCTTCATAAAATTATCATTCTGTTAATGCAGTTGTCTATAAAAAAATGTTTATCTCCAAAAAAATAGATTTTTTTCCACGGGAGAGTGTCAATATAGTTTCACAGTTCAGGCCAAGTTTTATTAAACAGGTTTGTGACCCAGATCTGAATAGAACTGAAATGAAGATGCTGATTTTGTTTATAGAGCAGCAATACGAAAAGAGCAACAAAAGGTTAGTATACTTATCTAGTATACATAATATATTAATTTATATATTCTTCTGTATATAATTGACTGTGTAAAATAGAACGCTAATATTTTTTGGCCAGCATTGATTGTGGAAGTATTTTTCCCATTCATTTTCTCTATGAACTACATTTCACATAAGGCATTGCAAATAATCAAAGCAAAAACAACTGTACAATATAAAACTATTGACTTACAGTCACTGATTATAAGACATTTTAGGTTTATATTTAAATTAAAATATTTTAAATATTTTAAAAAAATATATATTTAGTACAATATAAATATTTAAATGTATAAGTATTAGTATGTGGAATGTAGAGAGGCCGACTCGAATAATTACTTTGCAATGCATCATGGGAGTGGGTGGAAGTGTTTCCATTGTAACTGGGACTTCTCTAATTGATCTCTCAGAATTATGGGTAGAGTTTTTGAAATCATATTTACTTCTACGGAAACATAAAGCAGCGCTTTACTCAGACGAGGACTCTCTTGAAAACGGCACATTATTGATAAGAATCTAATTCTTTATAGAGAAAATGATTGGTAGTTTTGCTTCCAGATCCCAGCTGTGGTATTATATTGAGATACCCTAATAAATATAGGTAAAAAAAAAAAAAAAGAATCTGTGGTATGTACTATTACCCATGACTGATGCCACAGTGATGGGGAATGTGCAAAATAATCAAACTCCTCATTGAGAAAGTTCTAGTAGGGATTTTACTCCTCTGGTACTAGATGAGACTCTTTGCCTTCGACGAATGCGGTGAAACTGTTGTTCCTGGAGCTCCAATCATAGCTGTCCGGCGTAACACTGTGAATGAAGAGCAATAGGCAATGAATTAAACTGTTCTGGTCAAATGCTCCTCATTTAGGGGTCACACTCCTCACGGCCAAAAGTGTAACCTCAAAGAAATAAATGTGCTATATTTTATTCAATAATATTATTCTTTAATATTTTGCGATATTAGGAGATTTCATGGTACTATAAATAATATTCACCTCTAAATTATGCACCATTTATTTATTTCTGTGTAAGATTAGACCTTTTTTTTCCCTTTAATTTATGCAGTATGCCAAAAATAGAGCATAACTTTAAAGTCCCCCTGTGGTGAAAATCAAGCTTTTAATGTTGTTTATGTGTCTATGTGATGTTTTAAATGTGGTTTAAAGGTGCCCTATGTAAAAATTGAGGTAAAATTATCCAAAAAATGAGCTACACACATCAAAAGAATGAGAAGAAATAAGTGCAATGATGTCATTAAAAAATTGACAAGTTATAGTGCTGCCGAGATATAAACCTAAATTAGCATGCTAAATTACTAGCGCCGGCCCGACTGGTGTCGTAATACCAGTTTCGGCCATGGGAGGCGGTATGCGGGCAACATACATAACCACCAGCCAAACTGCAGTACACGAATAACTCGCACGGCTTGTGGGCGTACTTGAACCTGATGTCAATCGCGTCTATATGAGACCGGCATTTATAATTTAGTGTTGAGATGTTGTTCATTGAGTCTCTAATCTCTTAAAATATCCAAATGAACTGCGGCCTTACTATCGTGTCAATTGATTTGATTAATATGCACGAGGGAGAGAGAGAGAGCAGGAGGACTGCGCTCGTGTTGTTTGAAGACGTGAGAGTGCGCGCGCGCGGCCGGGGCGCTCTCTCTCTCTCTCTGCTCGTTATGCGCCCTGTCAAGCGCAGCAGTCATTCTATTCTACATCACTCACCGATCAAAATAGGCTTTGGCGGGACAAAGCGGACGATTTGACGGTTTTTAGAAGATTAACAAACCGAAACTAAAAAACAGACTAGAGTAGGCCAACTTTCTGGAGGTATACTGCCCCCATCTGGTATGGAATATGCGGAATATGAATTTTATTTTTTGGCAGACATTCCACATGGCACCTTTAAGACAAATTATGTGTAAATTCATAAGTCGACAGCATTGCTGAGTATTTTCTGCTTAAAACTGCAGTGAACCAAAGACAGTCTCAAAAACACGGTTTGAAATCACTGGTGTTTCTGACGTCACAAACGACCTTGTAACCAATCAGATCAACGTGTGATCGTCAACCAGTGGATCTCTGAGCTGAGTGAGTGAGTGGAGGCGGGGCTCATTTGCATATTCATAGAACCGCGTATACTAAATGAGGAAAGGGTGTCGAGTTACATTCAAGATATTTTAAGGCATGAAGACATTTTACATGTCTTTTAAATATGTAATTTTGGTGGTCAAAGATGAGTTTTAAGGACTACAATTATTGACTACAGGGAGACTTTAAAATTCAAGCAGATTGGTGTCATCTGCTGTAAGGAAATAATGAAAATCATCTGTAATACCATGATGTGACCACAGGGCTGTGTATACCCTAGCTGCTGAGAACAGTGTTTTCAGACATATATTTACTTACTCTTATTGTTTTTTTTTCATTTGGATATTTATTTAGACATTAACGGACTACTGTTTTTGTTTGAAATGTTGATGTATAGTGTCAGTTTTTGCATTATTATAACAGTCAAACCTGAACACAGAGAATGCATAACTTCAACCTAATAAAACATTTTGTTACAAAAATAATAAGAAATTATTTATCAGAGTTTCAGAGGTTAACACCTTAATTTCTGTTTTCTGCATCATGGATGGTACATGATGCTTCCCCCCCCCCCCATTAATTTCCCATTAATTTCTTATGGCGATCATTTTTGACAACTAAGAGCACAAGTGTAACTATTTTTTAAGACCATTTAGCCCTTTTCTAATCATGTTTTTTGTGCGTTTACATAGCCAGTGCCACAGAAGTCACCAAGTTTTATACCATTCCAATGAAGTTACAATTTAAAAAAAAATCAAAACGTTAATTTTTTTGTTCAAATGTGACTGAAGAGCACCAGTGGGTTAATTCATTAAATGTATGATGTTGTCTAACATCAGTCTAAATTAGAGAAACACAACTTTCAATTGAAATTCAAAGTGTGCAATTTCAGATGTTTGCTCTTATACAGATGAATCATTGACAATAAGACCAGGAATGTACAGTTGGAAAGTGAATATTATGACTTGATTTTAAGTGATTTTAACCAAACTTGACTGACATACCTGGCTTGAATGTTTTGTGGGATGATACTCCATGCGAGGTCATCATCGCTGTCATAACGGCGCGGGTTGTCAAAGAAATAAGCTCTAGATGAGAACTTGTGCCCAGGGATCACCGCTGCACTCTACCAACCGGAGAGATGAGACATGAACATGTCATTTATTCCTGTGATGTACAGTCTCATTTAAAAAATAAATAAATCTCGTACCCGATCCTGAGTTGGCTTACGGACTCGGAAAAAGTAGACCACCAGGGATGTGGGCAGCAGCTCCCAAACAAACAGGATCACCCCAAAAACCACGTAACCAGCATCGCCCAATGTCGACTTCAGATCTGCCTGTAGAATAAAATAAATCAGCAATATTGCCAAATTCATCGAGACACATTAACCCTGTAAAGCCTGGCATGTGAAATAATACTCAGAAAATTTGTAAATTGAACAGTTTATTGAACTTTAAGATAAAAAGTTTGCATATGTGTATTCATATTTGATACATCAGGCTTTAATGCCTCAGTCAGAGGCCAAAACTGAGCAAAAATATCATTCATCAATATATCTGCCAATAATATGTCTCAGTAAGATATGGAAGCTTGTTTCCGCCACTGAATATAAATAAATAAATAAATAATTGCGACTTTTTGCGAGATATGAAGTCAGAATTGTGAGAAATAAAGTCGCAATTGCGAGATATAAAGTCGCAATTCTGAGAAATAAAGTCGCAATTCCGAGAAAAAAAGACAGAATTGAGACTTTTTATCTCACAATTGCGAGTTTACATCTCGCAATTCTGACTTTATAACACATAATTGCGAGTTTATATCTCGAAATTCTGACATCTTTTCTCAGAATTGTGAGATATAAACTCGCAATTGCGAGTTATCAGGCCAATTCTAAGGAAAAAAAAGACTAACTTCTTCCCCTCAGAATAGTTTATATCTCACAATTCTGACTTTACAACACACAATTTCGACTTTATATCAATCAATTCAGACTTTATATCACGCAATTCTGACTTTATCTCGCAATTCTGACTTTATCACGCAATTCTCTGACTTTATATCACGCAATTCTGACTTTATATCACACAATTCTGACTTTATATCACGCAATTCTGACTTTATATTTCGCAATTCTGACTTTATATCTCGCAATTCTGACTTTATATCACGCAATTCTGACTTTATATCTCGCAATTCTGACTTTATATCTCGCAATTCTGACTTTATATCACGCAATTCTGACTTTATATCTCGCAATTAAAAAGTGAGATAAAAAGTTGCAATTACCTTTTTTATTTTTCATTCTGTGGCGGAAACAAGCTTCCATAGTTTCATGATCAAGGCTCTGTAGTTTTAAAAAATATAATGCAATAATTAAACCTATAATGAACATATTCGATACTCTGATGTATGGATAATCAAGTAAACTGAAGCTGCTTCAGTCCAGTTTAAATATTACTAAAAATATCAAAGTTATTCTTGATAAAAATCAGATTTGACACAGAAAGACTCGTGAAGCTCGAGCTGAAGGAGGACGTTTGTACAATTATACTAAAATACCTTTACTTGATAAAACAGTCTTAACTATCAATCAGAGACTGAAGCACTGGAGGAGATTGTGTGCGACAGCAAAGCTTGATCATGTTGATCAATTAGAGGGTTTAGAAATGTGTGTATCAAACACGATACAGAATAGGGTTAATATATCATCATGAAAACAAAAGTACTAAAGACCCTCTTGAACGTTGTATCATTATTGTAACCACAATTTTTGTGCTTTTTTCTGTGATACAAAGTTGATACAAATATCTAGAGTCACTAGAGTTTGATTTGCATTGAACCTGGAACATTTTTTACCTTTCTGTTATGGGTATTTGGCACGTACTTGGTCTGATACGTTGTACCAGTCGTAGTCGAATGAGTTGATGCTCTTGATTTTTGTCAGTGCCAGCACCACTAGGTTGTAGCACGCGCGAGACGAGTACAGCAGGATCACCGTCACTCCGATTGCAGTCACCTGACACACAGATGATCCCTGGACAGACGAGACGTTCAGACTCAATTCTGGTACGAAACACCATTAAATTCATTTTACAATGGATAAAATATACAGGGTTTTTTTTTAACAGGGATTCACATTGACTTAATTATCTATTTCACTCCATGGGGGTTTAAATAAATGAATATAAACTCAGTTTAAAATATTAAATAATGTTATTACACTTGTACAATGACGTTTGAGAGAATGAATGACATTGAAAATTAATCATTTTAAACTGGTTTGATGTTTGACAGTGTTCGTTTGCAACCCTGTCTGTTTTAACTGATTAATGGAATATGCATCTCATCAAAAAGTGTAAGGAGGATTAAAAACTGCCCAACCGTCCAATTCATCTTCTTTAGATTGACATATAGTGGACTTGGAAAGATTGGCACAAGGACAACATGCTTTTTAAGACTGAAAATTAAACCAAGATAATGTATGGAAAATACACTGTAAATGCTTTTCCATACTATCTTTTTTTAAGAGACAGTTTCCTTCTGGTTAGCCCATTAAAATGCTTTTGCCTGTTGAAATGGATCATTCGTTTGTGCTGAGATTCTAGGATTCAAAAACTTGCACCCCAGCTAACGGAACGTTCTCAGAACTTTAGGAAACATTTTTTAAATGTTGCTTCTTGTTTCAGAATGTTCAGAGAACTTTCAAAAGCAACATTCTCATAACGTTTGCAAAATGGAATGTTCATTTAATACTCGCATAACCTAAAAATGTTAGACAAGCTTTCTTCCATCTTCTCCATCACGACGTGTGTGTGCGCGCGATGTTGTTGGTTGCCTAGTAACGAACGTACGGTGGCCGAGAATGTTCCGTCAACTTCCGTGTGTATGTTGCCTAGTAACGAACGCAATCTGGCCGAGAGATACGCGCTGGCGGCAGGAAACTTCACTTTGTGTGTCTGTGCCTCGTATACAACGTTATTTATAAAGCTTGCAGGACAACTTGGTTGGCATTGCCTTTTCAGCGTGAGAAATACATGGTGTGGCGTGTGAGCGTGTGAACTGGTTGAATTGCGTGTGTCTCACGGGCCACGGCCAATGTGTGAGACTTGAGAACCCTGTTTTTACTTGTTTAATTAAAAGGCACCAGAAATACATGGCATTTACTCCAGTAACATTTTTCTGGGGGAGGACACACACTTGCGCCAATGGGGATAATGTACATCCAGCCGGTTGTTATCTCAGAATAAACCCCTTCAGGCTGATGCAAGACCCTGATCCTGATCACCCTGTCGGGGTTTATTCTGAGATAACAACCGGCTGGATGTACATTATCCCTTACATATAACGTATCACAGCTTTCATCTGTTTTGTGATTTGTGTTTCATTACCTTCGACTCCAGGTAGATGTTGGCCAAAGACATCTTGGCGATCTTGTAGAGACACAGAGAGAGTGAGACGGCACACAGGACAAACAGAGTGTCATTGATGGCCACGCGCACCAGCACTACAGTCTCGGTGTCGGTCTTTGTCATCTTCACCAGCAGCGCGCAGGTCAAGTTCACCAGCAAGAAGATGATGCTGATGCACAAGAAGAGCAGGTACAGCGGCAGCCTGACGACACAAGATATATATATCATTAAAAATGATAAACAACGAAGTTTCAGATGATAATTGCATGGATCCATATTCACCTGTATTTCTGAAGTTCTGGTGAATATTTAGACTTCGCCTTGAAAATGACCTGTCCCAGAAAATAAGTAAGTTAGTGTAAATATTACACGCAAAAAGCATTTTTAAGCCAAGATTGACACATTCAGGATCATAACATTCAGGTCACCACACACTTTGATCTTGACATAAACAAGATTGTTAAGCAAGTTTTCAGGTTTACTGCTCACCTCCATTATAAACATTGACATGTCAACATGTTCTTATCATATAAGATCTGATTTAGGCAGTTTGAGGGACTAAAGTGTGTGATTATATACTGTAAAAAGAGAAAATGTACAGTTGCTACCTTAAGGAGCTTTTCCAAACTGATCTGACCCTTAAAATTACATTGGTGTGAATGAAATTATTTATAAGATTATATTTGTTTACTTACAACTTTTGACCCAAAACTAAAAAAATCCAGTTTATTCTACACAGTAAAAGCTCTTTTATTCCAAAAATGCTCTGTAAAAAAAACCCAGTGACAACAGGATAGTATTTTCCTGACCTGTTATACTATATACTTACCCGTATATAAGTAAGTGGACATTGAACTCGTTGAACATTTAAAATATGTATTGTTGCGTTAAATATAAAATAGTTGGTACTATGGTGTAAATAATTCACAGGTTTTTACTGTCGGGTTTTTTATAGTGTAGTGTAAATGCATCAGACCGCAGTGAATGATTTCACTTCTCTTTTTTCTCACGCTGCACTCCCACACATACTGTATGATTCATTTGCAAATGCAGCTTTAATCACAATAAAACAGGAAGAATAATTCTACACTGCAACATCATTCAAACAAAATCAATTGTGAGTTTATATAATGCATGTAAAACTGAATTCTAAGTGACTAGTGTGGTTTTTAACCCTCCTTACACTTTTTAATGTGATGCATATTCCATTAATCGATTAAAACAGACAAATGCATTACATACAGGGTTGCAAAAGCACATCTTAGGGTTGCAAAAGCACATCTTAGGGCTGTGCAACGATTAATCGCATCCAAAAAAGAAGTGTGTGTACTGTGTATAATTATTTAATATATATTAATACACACACACATATGCATGTATATATTTTAGAAATATTTGCATGTAAATACTGTATATATAGATTTTATATTATATATAAATAGAAATATTTTATATAAAAAATAACACATTTTTCTTAACCCTTGTGTTATGTTGCGGGTCAATATGACCCGTTTCGATTTTCAAGTTGTTGGAAATACTGGTTAACCTTTGTTTTTTTTCTGATATTTTGTGACTTTTTCTCATTTATCATGATGAACATGCATGCAAAGTTTCAACATGCTGATGTGTTTTGACATATACAAACAAAATTACTGTTACGTTCGTGATGTTCGCGGGTCAATTTGACCCTCATAGGCAGCCATTCAAAAGCAACTGTACAGGCACAAAATAAAAACATTTATTTTATTTCTGTATGTCAGGGCACTTCAACTCCAGTTCTAACGTGCAAGTGCATCTAAAAGTGCTCTAACCCTAACCAAACACACTTGAAAAAGCTAAAATTACAGTGTTCAGAATTATTTGCAAATTACAGATGAAAATCTTTGTCAGACACAGATAGTAAAATAAGCTCTCATTTCAATATTCAAAATATCTAAAATACCTAGCTTTTAACCAAAACTTTTGGTAACACTTTATTTTAAGGTGCTTGTAATAAGCAGTAATTAACAGTTAATAAGACACTTTTAAGACCTTATAAGATGCATATAAGATGCATATAAGCATTAACTAATGATAATAAATCAATTAAATTAAATAATAAATTTCTCAAGTATCAATACATTGCACTTTTAGAACAGCCGAAACAAACATAAATGGTAACACAAACTCCCAGGCCCTTAAAAATTGACCTTCCCAAGAGGGAGTAGTTTCCCTGATCTCTTCAGGGCCTGGACCTTTAATTAACCCTTATATGAAGTAGTTAATGCTTATATGCATCTTATATGCATCTTATAAGGTCTTATAAGTGTCTTATTAACTGTTAATTACTGCTTATTACAAGCACCTTAAAATAAAGTGTTAACTGTATTGGTTATGTTTGGTTTCTCACTTCCCAGTGAGTGAATAATGAAACTAGGGAACTAGGTCTTAGGAAACTAGGGAAAGTTAACTTAGGAAAATGAAAAATTTTCATTATACAGCAATTTTTTTTTGTTCAGTTACGATGTTCAAAGCATAAAATGTAAAAAAAAAATATATATATATATATATATATATATGCAAAAAAAAATCAGTATACTGTTTATTTTCCAACTTTGTCAAAACAAAACTGTTTTAAAAAATGTTTTAAAAACATTTTCATAAATCATATTTTCAGATATAATGTTTTTGTAATGACAAATGTTGATATTAAAAGTTTACAGTTTGTATCTAAATCTTTGTTGTTTTTCATAGTGTGATTTTTGAGGAATTGTATTGAATCCAATTAGGGTCAATTTGACCCGGTCCATAAGGGGAGTACACAGAAATCGAACAGAACACAAGGGTTAAATATATACATGCATGTTTGTGTATTTATATACACAAAATAATTATACACTAAACTCACATATATTATGTAAACACAAACTTTAATTTTGGTCGCGATTAATCGTTGCACAGCTCTCTAAAACTACACTGGAGGTGGTTGGATAAATAAGAATGATTGACGTGTAGCAAAAAAGGAAAGTTGTTTCAGTGTAAGTTAATCAGCAGATAATTTCTCTTTAGAATGAATTATGCATAATCAGAAATCAGAAACAGTATGAAAATATGTAAGCAACAGAAGCTGTGCAAAAATCCTTTTTTTTTTGTGAGTGTAATCCACTCTCATAAACTTACATGTGACCTGCAGTCTTAAAAGCAGATTTTACCATTGCCACAATGGCAAGGTTCAAAGGACGGTAGTGTGTAACTCACCTGTGCGAAGTACAGATTCATGAGGCTGAGCGTGAAGAACTGCAGGCACACGGGGAAACAGTAGAGCAGCCAGAAAGAGAAGGGTCCGAGTGTGTTTGCGGTCACACAGTTTCTGAAATAAAAGGAGAAGAGAAGCGCACGCAGAGCCGCCCACAGCAGACACAAGAACAGAAACACAGTCTGGTAGCTGAAGCGTTTGTGTCTGTATCTCAGCACCAGCCACAGCTGCGCGTACACGAACGCAAAGAGCAGTGTGTAGAAGACTGTGTACGCCACTGTCAAACCCAGCATCACGAACGGCGGCACGGCCGGGCTGAGAGTCGGCAGAGGAGAGAGAGACTCGTTCTCCATCGGTCTTCAGCTCCTCCTTCTCGAGTTTAAACCCCTGTAGGCGAGAGAACGAGCTTGCGAGAGCAGCGCTGGGATTTAGGGGAAGGAAACGAGAATGGCAGAGGAAACGAAAGCATGCAGCAGTTCCTCGTGCGTGAACCGCATTCAGCTGGAAGGAAGGCGTATGATGCTGTGCAGCGAACAGTGAAAGCTGGAGGAAGGGAGGGAGAGAACGAGGTAGGACGGACCCAATGACGCTGTGTTGACGTGCATTACTGTACCTTTAACCCTGTGCTCACGCTTCCCACGGGATGCTTGTGCTTCTTCTTTCTCTTCCCAGCACGTTCAGCATCTGCGCTTACAGGTGAAACTCGAAAAGATATTAGAATATGGTGCAAAAGTTCAGTAATTCAACTTAAAAGCTGAAACTAATATATTATATAGACTCATTACATGCAAAGTGAGATATTTCAAGCCTTTATTTGTTATAGTTTTGATGATTATGGCTTACAGCTTATGAAAACCCCAAATTCAAAATTAGAATATTGTGAAAAGCTTTTCATAAGCTGCAAGCCATAATCATCACTATTGTTTTTATCAAGGCATTTTTATAGAGTCATTTTATTGATTTGAGTGTATTCATACCGGTCAATGTCCAACTTGTACAACAATATTCAATATGTGATCAAATCATAGAATGTAAAAACACTTTGGCAGCCCCAAATGGTATAAATTGACGAATTTGTTTAAAATTTCGTGAATTAAATTGTACTGTAGGCTACTCGATATTTTTAATACTTAAATTATACTCGATAATTTTTTTTAACTTAATGTGGAATCAAGGGTCACACCAAGGTACTTAAATTCCGAGACGATGTCTAATTCTTCTCCTCCTAAAAATACACCAGATTGTTTTATGTCGCGGGACTGTTTAGTGAACATCAGGGGCGTCACTAGGCCCTTTTTAGGGGGGCTTCAGCCCCCCTAAACTTCTGCCAAGCCCCCCTAAAAATGTGAGATTAATGTAGGCTACACAAATTCGTGTTCGCTTCAGTCTTGTTATAATCAGATTCAGCACGTTCTCAATCCACAGCTGCGCCGTGCAGAGAGCACGTCAGAAACAGAGGACAGGGTGTGTGTGTTCATTTGTGTGTTCATCTGAGCCTCATTGGTCTGTCACTGCTCGTCAATGTCAGAGACGACCAATCAAATCAAAGTAGGCGGGCTTTATGTTCACAGACGCTGCTGAGCGCGAATTTTAACAGTGCGAGTGCGACACGACCATTTTTTACAGTCTATGGACTCGACGCGTACGGTCAAGTGCGAGATAAGATGTAAGTAGCTAAACTTAACATTTCATATTTTACTTTTTTTAGGTCATAAATGTTAAACGAATGACAAAAAATAATCAGGCAAACTAATATAGTTTTGTCTAATTTCGCCATTTTGAACTGAAAATAGATACACTCATGTAACTCATGTAATGTAATAATTAGTTTACAAGAAACATTAACAAAGCCGTTTTCATCATGTTAGGCACAAGATTAATAATGAATGTGTACATATTGAGAATATAATACAAATTGTAGCCTTTAGTAAATTAAAAAAGCTCAGCTTTAGGAGGGGAAGAGAAAGGGAGGAAGAGACTGAGAAAAAAAGGAAGAGTGATTGAGATGAGAAGAGAGGAGGTATTGACAAATAATCTGCCCACTGACATGGTTTTAAAGCTATTTCTTATCCTTTTTTTTTGGTCTTCAAACGTCTTGAAATGCACAAATCAGAAATAAAAAATTTGAACCCCCTACCAATCTCAAATTTAGGACCTCTGTGATTATAAAGCCCTGTCTACGGCCCTGTATTAGGCATAAGATCAATAATAAATGTGTAGCCTACATATTGTGAATGCATTTAATAAACTTAATTACCTTTAGTAGCTTTCAGTAAATAAACGCGTCTGAGAAAATGATTCATAGGCAAAATCAACCTATCAGTTGACCCTATGTTTACTTTCTTCACTGACAGACAAAAATGAAAAGCCTATATCAGTCAAAGCTCAGCTTTAGGAGGGGAAGAGACAGGGCAAGAGAAAAACAAAGAGAAAAAAAGTGATGCTGCTGATGAGGAGAGAAAAATTGTCAGCTGCCCACTATCCAAGTTTTTTGGCCTTCAGAACATCTTAAAATGCACATATGTAGATCAGAGAAATCAAAATTTTCTCGGGGAGACCCCGAACCCCCCTATTTGCCCTGCCTCACTTTTGGGACCACAGTTATTATAAAACCGTGCCTTTGCATCGTAATGAAAATGGTTAATAGTGATCTTTAGATCCTAAACTAAAGTGTTACCTTTTTTTATAATTTGTTTAAAAATCATATTGGTGGCTTAGCCCCCCTAAAATGAAAATCCTAGTGACGCCCCTGGTGAACATCATACAAACTGTTTTTTTAGTATTGAGTAGCAGACAGGATTTAAAAAGCCATTCATTTACAGGGATCAGAGCGGAGGTCAGAAGCCTCTTGAACACTTTTTGCACTTGTGTAGATGACTGCGTCATCAGCAAACATTCATGACAGCAATTAGCATACAAAACATACATTTTATCCACCTTATTTTTTGGTGTTGACAATTGAAAGTGAATTCTTTTTCTTAGGCAGAGAGAGAGAGAAAATGTTTCTGTGAAGTGTTATTTTAGTATTTATTATTAATTAATTTTAGTATTAATTATATGTATTAATATTTTGAGCAAGCTTTTATTTAATTTGAAGTTTGAGTCATTTTTTTAATTATCTTTTTATATTTCTATTTATCTTTTATTTTTATTTCAGTTATAGTTCTAGGTAGATCTTAAAATTATTTTATTTCAATTAGTTTAAGTTCAAGGTTTTCATCTAATAGTTTGATTATATATTTTTATTTTAATATAATAAATCAAATATTAAATTTTATTTCACAGAATATTTTATTTCAGCTTAATTTCAAATATGTAAATGATTTTTTAATAGGTTTAGTCTATATCAGCACTGAATAAGTCCTGTTTGTGATGGAAGAAATGTAGTGTATCACAGTTGGCCCTTTTTTTGTGTAAAAATTTTACTAAAATTGTTCTAAACCTTTACTCTCTGCATCTTTGTTTTCATTTTCTTTCTTGTGAGTTTGCCAAAATCAAGCGAAGCTAATTAATATTCAGACCGGCTCGTGGGACTGGTGTTTTACTGTAACCTCAGTACGGCTGATTAAATCTCTGGTCGGAAGGGCTTATATCTTTTACCCGTCTGGTTTCGCCTCAAGCCGTGAGAACCCTCTGTGTCTCGACTTGGGACTGTGTTTGTGAGTTATTGCTGGTGTAGCGTGGGTTCTCCTTCAGCATGGCAGCAATATAAGCCAGTGACATGCAACTCGGCCCAGATGTCAGAGGTCAAGTCAATCAATCAACAGTGCAGTAATAATCACATTAGGGTCATGTGATGCACTTATAATGGGGAATGAAATGCATGCTTTCGTGTTTCATATGTGTCTCAGATTATGATTTTAATCTAAACTTTGATTTTAATATATAAGTCAATATAACATAATATAACATAATACACAAGATAATATAATAATGTGTGGAATATCTGATGTGTAAAAATAGACTTAAAATTTAACTAATTTTCATTTTAGGTGAAATATAAGCTAATGTTGACATGTCTTCCTCCTCCTCTTCCTCCTCTTCTTCCTCCTCTTCTTCCTGTTCCTCCTCACCCTCCTCTTCCTCCTCCTCTTCCTGTTCCTCCTCATCTTCCTCCTCCTCTTCCTGTTCCTCCTCTTCCTCCTCCTCCTCTTCCTGTTCCTCCTCTTCCTCCTCCTCCTCTTCTTCCTCCTCTTCTTCCTGTTCCTCCTCTTCCTCCTCACCCTCCTCCTCCTCATCTTCCTCCTCATCTTCCTCCTCTTCCTCACCCTCCTCCTCTTCTTCCTCCTCCTCTTCCTCATCACCCTCCTCCTCTTCTTCCTCCTCTTCCTCCTCCTCCTCATCTTCCTCCTCCTCCTCATCTTCCTCCTCACCCTCCTCTTCCTCCTCTTCTTCCTCCTCCTCCTCATCTTCCTCCTCACCCTCCTCTTCCTCCTCCTCTTCTTCCTCCTCCTCCTCTTCCTCATCACCCTCCTCCTCTTCTTCCTCCTCTTCCTCCTCCTCCTCATCTTCCTCCTCTTCCTCCTCATCTTCCTCCTCCTCTTCCTCCTCACCCTCCTCTTCCTCCTCCTCTTCTTCCTCCTCCTCTTCCTCATCACCCTCCTCTTCTTCCTCCTCTTCCTCCTCCTTCCTCCTCATCTTCCTCCTCCTCATCTTCCTCACCCTCCTCTTCCTCATCACCCTCTTCCTCCTCTTCCGCCTCCTCCTCCTCCTCCTCCTCCTCAATAAGCCACTCCAGTGCTTCACAGACGGTCTTGAGGCAGAAGAGGGCCTGAACCAGGATGGCACTTGTGGTTAGTGATCAGTTCATGGCAGTGTGGATCTGCCCTGGGAGGACTAGGCAACTATTCTGGCATTATTGTTCAAATTGGAGTCATGCTGCGTAGCAGGATTGAGGAAAAAAAATCATAATTAAAAACTGTCTTCCTTTAAATTTAGAAGTGTGAACTTAAATTGAATTGGCCACAATCTAAATGAGATGACAGAAAGAGGAATTAAATATGTTAAACACAATCATACAACAGAGGGAACTAAAATATTCAGATCATTCGTATGTGTTTTGTTCAAGGTTTCCATCTGGTAAACGCACTTCATGTTGTTTTGCTCCACTTTGAAGATTTTTTGTGTCATTGAGAAATGATGATGGAAATGTATGCACGGTCTATAAAATGTATGTATATTAGTTAAACATATTTATAAAATAAAATAAATACAGATATCTAAAGGTGGAATTTCAAACATTCCTGGAAATGGCCCAAATGTTGTGTGCATATTACAGTAATTCATTCTGACACAAGTTGCATTTCTTTGAACTTCATTCCATTTTAATATTATGTACTTAAAGTCAAATTTCAAATTACAATTCTGCATTCAAAATGTATCCATTCAAATTTAGGAATCAAATTGGAATTATATTCTCACTTCAGTTCTAAATGCTTGTAGAGATATGATTGACCAGTAGATGGCGGTGTTATTTAATATTTCACAGCACCTATAGTTTATTTGTTTTTACCTTCATATTGTTTGATATGTATGGAAGCCCTAAACCTCAACGTAAAAAAATCCTAAAAATATATATTTTTTTAGCATTTCAAGATTAAATGGGTGGTTGATTATGATTTCACTTTTCTAACTTTAGTTAGTGTGTAATGTTGCTGTTTGAGCATAAACAACATCTGCAAAGTTACAATGCTCAAAGTTCAAAGCAAAGGGAGATATTTGCTTTTAAAGAAATTGCATATTAAGGACTATAAAAAAATGTCTGGTAGGAACTACAGGACATTCCTCCCGGGTTAGTGACATCACCAACCCTAGAATTTACATAAACCCCGCCCCCTGAACACGATTTATAGATTATCAAAACAGAATATGCTAATCAATGACTAGAAGATAACTCCACATCAGCTTCATAAATTCATCAACTAACCATTCAGAAATGTCCTGTCGCATTCTACATGTTGTCACTTAAAGGAGAACTCCGGCGCAAAATGAACCTTTGGTCTAATTACACATTGTTACCTAGTCAACCGTTATCTGAGATTTGTTTTCATGATTATCGAATGTAAATAGTTTTATCTCTAAAAACAGTTTAGCCTATAAAGCTAGTATAACGCTAGTATATTGGGCATAGAGTAATGACAAATAAAAATCGCTTGTTAATACCACTAACAAGGCTCAAAATAGCCCCACACTAACACGGTAGCATAATCAGGGTCCCTACCTTCAAACCGAAGCATTGAGAACTTTGTCAGTGTCCAGACAGTTTAATAAGAAGATATTTTAAACATACAGTCAACTTCGCGTATACAGGCAGAATCCATCTTTGAAATACAGCCTTTACCAGTCGATCTACGAACGCCGATCCAAGTGCGCTGGTGAGATGTGAACGAGCTATAAGTTGTGATAAGGTGTGTGCGAACAGCAGGCTTGGATCGGCGTTCGTAGATCGACTGGTAGAGACTGTTTTTCAAAGATGGCTCCTGCCTGTATACGCGAAGTTGACTGTATGTATTAAATATCTTCTTATTAAACTGTCTGTACACTTACAAAGTTCTCAATGCTTCGGTTTGAAGGTAGGGACCCTCATTACGCGTGTGGGGCTATTTTGAGCCTTGTTAGTGGTATTAACAAGCGATTTTTATTTGTCATTACTCTATGCCCAATATACTAGCGTTATACTAGCTTTATAGGCTAAACTGTTTTTAGAGATAAAACTATTTACATTCGATAGTCATGAAAACAAATCTCAGATAACGGTTGACTAGGTAACAATGTGTGATTAGACCAAAGGTTCATTTTGCGCCGGAGTTATCCTTTAATTCTTGAGTCTCTCCATCATTGACTCAGTTGACATCATCTGACTCCGGTTTGAACATAAAAGGCTAAAAGTTTTAGAAATGTTCAGTGCATGTGTGTGTGAGGTAAAAGGACACGAACTCTTGAAGCTCCGCCCCCTGTGCCGGGAGCAGCAGCTCATTTGCATTTAAAGGAACAGACACAAAACGGTGCGTTTTCTTTTAAAAGGGCATTATACCACCCCTTTAAAAGTCGAAATATTTCGAGATTATAGTCGAAATATTTCGAGATTAAAGTCGAAATATTTCCAGAATAAAGAAGTAATATTTTGAGAATAAAGTTGTAATATTTTGAGAATAAAGTTGTAATATTTTGAGAATAAAGTTGTAATATTTTGAGAATAACGTTGTAATATTTTGAGAATAAAGTTGTAATATTTTGAGAAATACAGTCTTGCGTAAAAGTTCGGTTTCTTTTTTTTTTTTTTGTAGGCTAAAGAAATGCACTCGTGAAGTCGAAATGCTTTTGCTGGATCTAAATATAATAGTAGCTTTTTACTTTTATTAAGCTTTTAATTAACTAAAGTAGGCTAACCATCCAAATCAATTAGTTTACATTCATTTTTATCACTTGACAGGGAACGATAATCTGGAATGCTCTCGTGTCACTATTCATTTGCACACAGTACAGTGAACTCAGGATATTATTGGCAATTATTGTGTCGTTTCAAAGGGAGTGTGATTGTGCCAAAACAAGGCCTTGCTCTGATGGGCTTTTGGATGGCGCTCAATTATTATATCATCAAAAGGTCAATCGCTGATGTTTGTTTAATGTCGCTGCATTAATTATGCAACATGATGTCAATGAGTAGGACTCCCTGATTTGCTGAGACAATAAGCGTTGTCATGAATATTAATTAGGTTATGTGACTGGATGCTCCATGAAAATAACAAAATAATGTCATAATAAATAGTAAAAAATTAAAAAATCCATGAGCCAAGCATTTTCAATCATGACATGGAAAGAAAGCATTTTCCTTTTTTTTTCTGTGGAACAGCATTATGCATATTTAAACAATGTTAAAACTACACTTTTTCCAGACAATATAAGTATACACACACACACACACACGATGTTGCAGTAGAAAAAACACGTATGTGTGTCAGTGTGTGTGTATCATATATTATTGTAGTTAGTAGCCTATAACAAATATGAAACAGAATAGTTAGTATAGGCTACACACACACACACACACACACACACACACACACACACACACACACACACTCACTCACACTCTAACTTGGCTTCCCACTATGCCAACTTGCAAACTAAGATTTGTGTCGATGCAGTTACTGACTTTAAGAAGTACTTTTTCAATGTTAAAGCTCACTGGAGTAAATTAGGCTATAGTATATTTATCGTAATAGTATATAAATAGTAATAGTATAGTAAATTATAGCTAAACCCGGACTTTAGTAGGGCTACATGTACTGTACATGTGGTATATTAGTATTGGGTATTATTTTTTTGTTAATACAGTAACACAAGCAATATAATTTGCAACTTTGTATGCATTGTGCCGGAGAGTGAGGGATTGAACTCGTGCATCTGCGTAAACAGGGAGGAGCGCGCGCCTCGGGTTGAATCGGACACGCGCTTAATCTTCAGTCAGTCAGTCAGTCTCTCTCAGGCAGCTTCAGGTTCGGTTCGGGTCTGGAAATGGGTCGGCAGGGGCAGAGATGGTCAGTGTGGATCCTGTTATTCGGATTGTCAGTGTCTGTTAGCGGGATAACACGACAGGAACTCTTTCCCTTCGGGAGGAGCGCAGGCGATCAGTCTCTTGATGAAGGGACCGATGAGACGCACGAGATCACTCTGGAAAAGCCTGTCACGTTTTACGACGGACAGTTCAACAAGATTTACGTGAGTGTTTCAGTTATTAATCATATTCGCTTCTACTGTACTGTGATACATCTGATTCAGGAACAATATGACCCTAGAACAACATACTTTGATATTAACTATTAAAGTTCAAATTTAATTGCCACATTCATGCACTATGGTAGTTAAATTGCTCTTCGGGATGCAAGTTTCTTGGTGTGTGTTTGTGTGTGTTAACATACTGTATACACACACACTCTAAAAAATGCTGAGTTGTTGCAACCCAATTTTTTGTCAAATACGGACAAACCCAACGTTTTGGTTAAAAATGTAACGTTAATTAAAAAAAATAATCCAACGGTTGGGTTTGTCCATATTTGACCCAAATTTGGGTCGAAACAGCGCAGCATTTTTTGGAGTGTATGCACACACACACACACACACACACACACACACACACACACACACACACACACACACACACACACACACACACACACACACACACACACACACGCACGCACACACACACACACGCACGCACACACACACACACGCACGCACACACACACACACACACACACACACACGCACGCACACACACACACACACACACACACATATAGGCCTATATATAATGCACACACACACACACACACAGCTGTCCAGTGGCAACATTATATGTGTGTAGATCATCAGTCAGGGTGTTTTCCAAAGTAAACAGAAAAAAGTCTTAGAGGTTCACATTATAAACTCTCTGCTGTTTGTTTTTGCCGTGTTCTTGCCAACTGATTTTATTGACACTGCATTAAGCACAATAGCAGCGCATTTGGCAATGAAAAGGACAAACAGCTCATTATACTCCTCCTAAAATAGAAATGTGGTGTTCCAGTGCTAATTGAGTAATAGATCATTTAACAAGGTTTTAAAACAACAAAGTTATTTCAGGTTTGCCTACTGAACGCTGTTTTTTTATCCACTCGACTGATCTGTCACTATTAATATAGTATATGCGGGGTGTAATTTATTGTTTTGCTATTTTATACAGTATAGATGTTATTTTATGCATGCAACATATTCAATGAGAACAAATGTAGGATAGGATGTGATTGAATTCACTGATAATTGAGTGATTGATTGCATTGATGAATCATTAACTATTAGAGTGGGAATGTTTGTCATAAAAGTAAAGAGTCAGTTTTGCTTTCGTGAGTGATTCTGTAGTGAAATTGTCACGACACACACACGGGAAACAGGGGTTAGATCCAATCGCAGTATTTTAATGGGGTAATCCGTACTCACAACAGTCCAGGCAAGGGTCAAAATCCATATAAGCAATCCAAAACACAAGAAACAGGCAAGAACTCGGAAGTGGTGTAACATAATACAAGGACTCCGTAACAAACACTAAACAAGCAGGGTATATATACACAGAACAAGACAATCATGATGATGGGGAATAGGCTGAGTGCAATGATCAGTGATAAGGAACAGCTGAGTGCAATGATGAGACAAAGGATCGTGGGGAATGTAGTTCATAATGTGAATGACACCGTGAGAACGAGGACCTCTAGTGGACACCAGGAACATAACCAGACACTGTGACATAACCTCCCCTCTACGGAGCGGCTACCAGACGCTCCAAGACCATACAAACAAACAAGAGTCCAGGTGGGAGGTGAAGCGGTGGAGGATCAGGGGGAGGGATGGGGGGCCAGGTCCATGAAGGGGAACCAGAACAGGAGGTGATGGCTCAACCGGCGGCCAAGGCAAGACAGACAGTCTATCAGGCGGCCAGGGCGGAGACGATCCCTCGGGCGGCCAGGGCGGAGACGATCTCTCGGGCGGCCAGGGCGGAGACGATCCCTCGGGCGGCCAGGGCGGAGACGATCCCTCGGGCGGCCAGGGCGGAGACGATCCCTCGGGCGGCCAGGGCGGAGACGATCCCTCGGGCGGCCAGGGCGGAGACGATCCCTCGGGCGGCCAGGTCGGTGAAGACCCTTCGGGCGGCCAGGGCGGTGAAGACCCCTCGGGCGGCCAGGGCGGAGACGATCCCTCGGGCGGCCAGGGCGGTGAAGACCCTTCGGGCGGCCAGGGCGGTGAAGACCCCTCGGGCGGCCAGGGCGGTGAAGACCCCTCGGGCGGCCAGGGCGGTGAAGACCCTTCGGGCGGCCAGGGCGGTGAAGACCCCTCGGGCGGCCAGGGCGGCGAAGACCCTTCGGGCGGCCAGGCCGGCGAAGACCCCTCGGGCGGCCAGGGCGGCGAAGACCCTTCGGGCGGCCGTGGCGGGGACACCGGCTCAGGAACTGCAGCAGCCACCGGCTCAAGAACTGCAGCAGGCACCGGCTCAAGAACTGCAGCAGGCACCGGCTCAAGAACTGCAGCAGGCACCGGCTCAAGAACTGCAGCAGGCACCGGCTCGGGAGCAGCAGCAGGCACCGGCTCGGGAGCAGCAGCAGGCACCGGCTCGGGAGCAGCAGCAGGCACCGGCTCGGGAGCAGCAGCAGACACCGGCTCGGGAGCAGACACCGGCTCGGGAACAGACACCGGCTCGGGAACAGACACCGGCTCGGGAACAGACACCGGCTCGGGAACAGACACCGGCTCGGGAACAGACACTAGAACAAAAACAGTCACAAACACAGACACAAACACAGACACAAAAACTGGGTCCGGAACCGACATGAACTCCGGCTCCGGAACAGTCACTGGCTCTGCCTCCGGCTCAGGAACGGGCACCGGCTCTGCCTCCGGCTCAGGAACGGGCACCGGCTCAAGAACAGGCTCCGATCCTGGAACGGCAGACCCTGGCATGTCCAGGATCCGAGCCAGACGCTCTAGGTAATCCATCATAGCCTTGGCGGCCACACAAATGGGCATATCCTGATCAATCCCTGGCTGGGCAGACGTGACGTGAACAGTCTCTGGCTGGGCAGACGTGACGTGAACAGTCTCTGGCTGGGCAGACGTGACGTGAACAGTCTCTCGCTGGGCAGACGGGACGTGAACAGTCTCTCGCTGGGCAGACGGGACGTGAACAGTCTCTCGCTGGGCAGACGGGACGTGAACAGTCTCTCGCTGGGCAGACGGGACGTGAACAGTCTCTGGCTGGGCAGACGTGACGTGAACAGTCTCTCGCTGGGCAGACGGGACGTGAACAGTCTCTCGCTGGGCAGACGGGGCGTGAACAGTCTCTCGCTGGGCAGACGGGGCGTGAACAGTCTCTCGCTGGGCAGACGGGGCGTGAACAGTCTCTCGCTGGGCAGACGGGACGTGAACAGTCTCTCGCTGGGCAGACGGGACGTGAACGGTCTCTCGCTGGGCAGACGGGAGGTGAAACATCTCTCTATCTCCTCCTCTATGACGACCTCCACGGGTCCCGCGGAACTTTACCAACCGGGTCCCCTTAAACAACTCCCTTCTCTCCCGCTCGGTGGCTGGGGAAGAGATGTTGCAAAACATACTGCTGGATCTAGTTGTGACGGAGTCCTTCTGTCACGACACACACACGGGAAACAGGGGTTAGATCCAATCGCAGTATTTTAATGGGGTAATCCGTACTCACAACAGTCCAGGCAAGGGTCAAAATCCATATAAGCAATCCAAAACACAAGAAACAGGCAAGAACTCGGAAGTGGTGTAACATAATACAAGGACTCCGTAACAAACACTAAACAAGCAGGGTATATATACACAGAACAAGACAATCATGATGATGGGGAATAGGCTGAGTGCAATGATCAGTGATAAGGAACAGCTGAGTGCAATGATGAGACAAAGGATCGTGGGGAATGTAGTTCATAATGTGAATGACACCGTGAGAACGAGGACCTCTAGTGGACACCAGGAACATAACCAGACACTGTGACAGAAATTCTCCAGACACATTCCTGCATATCTGTGTATTGATCGGGTGGATTGACTCACGGACCATTTTTGATTTTAAAATGTGGTTGGAGGTCTCGTACATCTTTATGGAAAATTCTCTGAGGACTTGACTAACAATAACATTCATAATTACAATCCCTTGAATGCTTCCTTTCCCACAGGTTTCCTCTGCCAATTTCCTTTCCAGGACAAGCAATTCTTTCTGAGCTGTTCTTGTTCTTACCGTGAACTCTTTATTTTAGCAATGCATTGCATCCTTTCATAACATAACATAACATTTCTGTTGATTTGTAGTTGACAAAACTCCAGTGTTTTAGAGCAGATTATGAATGAATGGCAAAGTCACAAGAAGGAATGAGACGTTTCCTTCAGGATTTATAGGATCTCCTGCTGAATAAAAGTGCATGTGTTTGTAGCATTCTGACAACATCTGGAAATGCAGTCGAAGCATGCACATCTGTTTTAGTGAGGTGTTGAACGGTCATTGTACAAACGATTAAAATGTGCATTGCATTCCTTATTAAACCTCTAAAACTTACTCTTCTTCATTCATTCTTCACTACAATCTGTTCTCATGTTAAACTTTGTTTTAAAATGCTTCGTTTTCTCAGATGAATATGCCATTTCACAGTATAATCCAAACTGTTAAGTGTTACATGTTACATTTTTTGTTATGTTACATTTTTTGAATGTGCAGAGATGACCATTTAATTTCCATAAAAGTTTAAATACAGTACCTGTGCCTGAATGTAGCCCTATATAGTACACTCTAAAAAATGCTGAGTTGTTTTAACCCAATTTTGGGTCAAATACGGACAAACCCAAACGTTGGGTTAAAAATGTAATTAAAAAATTTACCCCAATGGCTGGGTTTGTCCATATTTGACCCAAAATTGGGTTAAAACAACCCAGCATTTTTTTTTAGAGTGTATGTATTATGCATTTAGCAGACACTTTTATCCAAAGCAACTTGCAGTATGTGAACATATATTGACGTACAGAGTATTCATGAAACAATACCAGGATGACCCACCCGGAAACCTCTTTGAAAACAATCATTATGTTTGTAATTCTCTTGGGTGACGTTGTGGCACAGAAACGACATGCTTTAGCTTTAGAATAAGACCAAGATCAGGCCTTTGAATTTGTCTGATTTTAGTTAGTCTGTGATGAATAGGCTTTGAGGATTGTACTATCAGAGTAACAAAATATTTGACTTTATTATAGTCTGGATGTACTATTTTGTCTTCTTTAAGATCCTATTATCTACTAAATAAGTCACACATCAGTTTAAAATGTGCATTTTGTTGTCATTTGTATTACATTGCAAGTTCAGAGTGTTGTTTTAGTTTTAAAAAACATATTGTCTGTGTTTTTACACTGTGTGTGTGTGTGCGTATGTGGGTGTTTGGCAATGGACTTTATTCCCTAAACCATCACAAACACACACTCAGTTTCTGTTGATTTTACTGCAGATTTCAGTATTTACTCTTTTAAAGGTTACTTAATCTGTTTTGATATAAGGTTTAAAGGTTACGGTAGCATGAGGAAAAATTGGGAACTTATAGCCATTTTCTACACACGTGAATGTATATTATTATTACTACTATTATCATTATTATTATTTTATTAAACATTGTTAAATCTATTATTTTTATTTTTATTTATTATTGATTTTAAAATATATATATATTTTAGCTATTTTGTCCAATAGTTTTATTTTATTCTACTTAATTTCCATCTTCTGTTTTATCTTTCTAGACTTATAATGTCAACTATAGAGATCATAAGTTTGATTTTGATTCAATGATTTAATTCAATGAGGTTCTAAATTGAACACTGGGGTTCTTGACTCAGTTATAACAACTTAAAAATTGTTGAGATAACTTAAATATCCAACTTAACTAACCTAAAGTTAACTAAACTTAAATTTTTAAGTCAAGTATGAACACTTACTTTTTAAAAGTTGAAACAAGTATATTTACAATTTACAAACTTTTATTTTAGATGCGATTAATCGCGTCAAATTAATCGATTTGACCACACTTGTTCAAAAACATTAACGGAACAAAACATCATTGTGTTCTTATATTTTAATTATGGTTGTTGATTCAGATCATCAGTATCTTCTTCTGTAATATTATTATTACTATTATACAGGTGAAACTCGAAAAATTTGAATATCGTGCAAAAGTTCTTTTATTTCAGTAATTCAACTTAAAAGGTGAAACTAATATATTATATAGACTCATTACATGCAAAGTGAGATATTTCAAGCCTTTATTTGTTATAATTAAGCGTACAGTTTATGAAAACCCCAAATTCAAAATTAGAATATTGTGAAAAGATTTTCATATCTGTAAGCCATAATCATCAAAATTATAACAAATAAAGGCTTGAAATATCTCTCTTTGCATGCAAGGAGTCTATATAATATATTAGTTTCAGCTTTTAAGTTGAATTACTGAAATAAATTAACTTTTGCACCATATTCTAATTTTTCGAGTTTCACCTGTATCTCACATCTGGATCAACTCCAATGGATTTGCGCGGGAATTGAAGATCGGTTTTAGATAAATTATTTTAGATAAAGCTATCTGATCAGTAAAAACGCATGAAGTGACCAGGTGTAAACAGGCCCTAAATTATGGTTATTGATTCCCATCATCAGTATCTTTTTCTGTAATATTATTAGGTAACACTTTACAGTGTCCTTGTTACATATGTTACATGTACTTACCATAGTAATAACAGTAAATGATGCATAATTACATGCAAGTAAGTACATGTAGTTGCTTAATATTACTCAATACTAAAATATATAAGTACACTGTAACAATGACACCTTAAAATAAAGTGTAACCTATTATTATTACTATTATATCTCACATCTAGATCAACACCAATGGATTTGCTGCCCTGGAGAAGCCTACAGTAGAGTCGGAGTACCTGGGCAACATGCCGGCCAGTTTTAAGATGATCGCTGCTCTACAAGGCGACCTGGACACCAGCGACGGCGTCGGAAAGGTCTTCTTCCGCCAGGACTCGAGTCCTGCTCTTCTCCAACAGGCGGCCGATCACATCAACAGAGCCTTTCCTGAGGATGATACGGTGAATCCCATCCACGCGCTGGTGGTCACATGGGTGGATGTGGCCTATCATAGGGCCGAGAGCAGAGGAGACGGCCTGGAACACACCGGAAGAGTGAGGTTCAGTTTATTTGTGGGCCGTTACAGTAATTTTATCATGCATTTTTTTAATTGTGACCCTGAATCACAAAACCAGTCACAAGAAGTAGCACGGGTATATTTGTGGCAAAAGCCAACAATACATTGTATGGGTCAAAATTATCGATTTTTCTTTTATGCCAAAAATCATTAGGATATTAAGTAAAGATCATGTAAATTTCCTACCGTAAATATATAAAACATTTATTTTTGTGAGTGAATGCAGCACAAACTTTAAAGACGATTCTCCCAATGTTTTTTCCATTTTCCATTCCAGATTTTCAAATAGTCCTATCCTCACAAACCATACATCAATGGAAAGCTTATTTAAACTTTCAGATGATGTATAAATCTCAAATTTAAAAAATTGACCCATGTGACTGGATTTTTGATCCAGGGTCAAAATTAAGGTATAGTTGTTCGTTCCTACGGCTGGTCGCCTTGTATTTTTGTTAGGCTACATAACACATACTTGCGTAAAGTATGTTTTGAGCATAAGAAAAATGCATCAATGCATGTATCAAACTGGCTCACACTGCAAAGATCACATTCCTATTCCTTATTTTACAGTTTAAATATCTACAAATGTAAGTTGCAGTAAATGCACTTTAAGCCACAATTAAAGCATAATTGCGTAAGATTTTAAGGCTTCATATAGTAGATTGTATTTTGAATATAAATGGCTGAAGTCTTTTACTTCTTTTTAATATAAAGAGTTAAAACAAGTGGAAAAACTCCTGTGTTACTTTAGTGTAATTAATATACTAAGTGTTTAATCGCGATTAATCGCATCTAACATGAAAGTTTGGACTCTATTCCCTAAACCATCACAAACTTCAACTCAGTTTCTGCTGATTTTAGTGCACATTTGACTGAGTATTTACTCTTTTATATAAAGGTTTCAGTAGCATGAAACAAATATATTTATTATTATTTTAACAATTTTGTACAATAGTTTTATTTTAATATTATTAATGATTTTTTTATATATATATTTACCATTTTTATTTTATTTTCAATCCTTTTGTTGTGTTTTTTTTATTTTTCTTAATTTTTATATTTATATGTATCATTTTTTTTGTGTAATGTTTTTTGTTTAAGTACTTCAACTTAAGCTAAATGAAAATGAGAAAGGTTACAATAAAATACATTTTTTAATCAAATCATTGACTCTAATTGAAAATGAATGACTTCTGACGCCTTTCTCATTGCAGATTGCTGTATGTGTAAATTACAACAGAGTCATGGATTCAATTGGTAGTATAAAAATGCGTTAATAAATCATGTTGTTTAACCTCATAGCGAAATACGTTCCAACTGGTGATTGCTTCTGTGGAGACGATGTCGTACGCGATACTCCTCTTCCCGAGAGAGTCGATGCAGTTCCAGAGCACCGGCGACAGCTTCACGATGCACGCCGGCTTCAGCAAAGGACAGGAGACACGCTTTATCTTCTCCAAGATACAAGGACCGTACTATCGCATCACAGACGACACCGAGGCATCGGTCAGGAACTTAGCGGAGTAAGTACGGTGTTGGTTTACCATAAATATTGCCATCATTTACTCTCTTCCATGTTCCAAATCTTTCTTCTGTGAAAATAAAAACCAGACATTCTGACTGTCTGAAGAGGCGAAAAAGCTCCAATACAAACTTTGACTAATATTTTTTTTTTATTTTTTTTTTTTTTTTATTATATTTATTATATTTATTATATGGTAACTTTGACTAATAATATACTTCCAGGATGAACACACACACACTAATGCCCCGTTTACACGGGGCATTAGTGTGTGGGGGGAGGGGACGCAGAGGTTTGGCCTCTCATTTACACGAAAACCCTGTTTTTATCACAGAAATTGATTATTTCTAAAAACTTCGGCCAAAGTGTCGATTTCTGATAACGCCGGTTATGTGTGGCCGTGTCGACCGGGAGAAACGGGGTTTTAGGTTCTCAAACGTCACATTATGCACCAGAAAATGCTTAACGTCATGTGAGCGCCCAGTTTGGCAGAGTTATGATGGCGCTCGACGGTGTATTTATCATAGATAGTCAAAGAAAGGGTAAATATTAGTTTCTTTATGTGTAAATGTGGCCTAAATATGACTGAGAACGGACAAAGACTAGCTGAACTGAAAGAAACTAAATACAAACACTGATGAACACAGATTAACAGAAACCAAGTGACACCGATGATGATTAACTAGACACAGGTGGAACAGATGATAAACTAAATGACAGTAACCATAGAAACAGATGAGTGGCGGGAAAACAGACCAAAGGAAGACGTGACTAAGGGTGACTGTAGCCACGTTTCCATTAGGGATGTCCCGATCAGGTTTTTTTGCCCCCGAGTCCGAGTCATTTGATTTTGAGTATCTACCGATACCGAGTCCTGATCCTATACTTATATAATACATAAAAAAAGAATAAAGAAGAGAGAAAAAACAGATCCAGGATGTTCCTTATTTTTTATTTAATTCACCTTATTTTAACATTCAACAACTCTGTTAACAAACAGAGCACTTCTGTGAGGTAGCTTGAACAATCAAGTAATAAATAACATAAAATCTTCACTTTTGGACTTTAGTGCAACAGTAAATATAGAAAAAGTCTAATATAAAAACAAATAGCACCTCAACTTAAAATAACCGGCAGGCATGTAAACAAAAAAATAAAAATGTTTTAAAAGTGTATAAAAAATAATGAGAATATATATATATATATACACATTAGGGGTGTAACAGTTCACAAAATTTGCGGTTCGGTTCGATACGATACAGCAAAAAGAAAGAAATGCCAGAGAAATTTCTATTTTTTAAAAGAAAAACTATTTTTAAATATGTTTGAGTTTTCCTACATCTTGAAACTTTCAGGTTTATAAATAATCTTTGAAGGATGAACAAATAATGTTTTGGAAATCACATTAAAAATAACATTTAAATATATATTTATATAATATTTGAGTTTTGAAGTGCAACATTAAATCCATGTTCATTCACGGCACAATGTTTCTCCTGGTGTCCACGTCAGCGCTGTTTGATCTAATAGAGATCTACGGTTAATAACGGAGAAATGTGAATGCTTCACTAGATCTCGCAGCGATGTTATTACTTCAGTGGCGGATTCAAATGTTTTCTTCACTGGATCTCCTAGCACAGCGTCGCTTGATCTCGCGCTGCACAGATGTTGCTGGTCCGAACTGATATGGTCCGTTAAGCACAATATAATGAGTAGCGCAGTTTCGTTCCGCTTTCATTACGTTTGCCATTTGATGTTGCGTAACGTTGTGGTGATCGCGCCAGCGCGGATTTTGTCTGCAGGAAAAATGGTCCTAGGAATCGTTCGGTTTGTATGCGTACCGAACCGGAAGCCTCGAACCGAAACGGTTCAATAATTACGAATACATGTACCGTTACACCCCTAATTTACATATATCCGAGTCCTGATCGGGAGGTAACGTCCGATTCCGATCGAGTCTGAAACCACGTGATCGGGCCCGATTTCCGATCGCGTCATCGGATCGGGACATCCCTAGTTTCCATTACCCTTCAAATTGGGCAAATTAAAATTGCGAATTGAAATTGCGCACAATGGAAACACGTCAATTTTCGCAAAAACTCCCGTTTATCGCAAAAAAGTTTTTACGCTCGCATGAGGAGGTTTTTCAGGCGATTCGAAAAAGGAATATTTCGCAAAACTGCAATGGAAACAGTTTTCGCGCATTTACAGTCACCTGACGTAGATGATGCGGTGTGTTTGAACAGAATATGAGACTGAGTTCTTTATTAAATTCATAAAAGAAAAAAGAATTACAGGAATACTGGATTCTAAACCTCAAAGAAATGCCACAATCTAGAGGTCTGCTACCCGACCCGAGCCCGACGGGTCCCGAAAAATGTGCGGGTTTCGGGTCGGGTTCGGGTTAATGTTTAATGAACAGCCTCGGGTTCGGGTCGGGTTCGGGTTTAACTAAGAAAAACTAAATAGGCTATATATAGTTTGCGTGCCGTGTGCTTTGCCTGCTTGCTGTGTTGTGGTGACCGGCACGCGCGAGAGAGAAAGTATACGTGCGCAGATGTGCAATATGTGCATACAGGCTCTCTCTCTCAAATATAATGATAATGATATATATATATATATATATATATATCATTTTTTTAAATTATTTGTTTTATTTTATCATATCATTTATATCACAAAACTGTTTTGCGCATGTGCTACCCCTCTCGCGCGCTATTTCAGTCACAATACAGACAGACAGCCGACGACAACAAGCAAACCATGAGTCTGATAAAGCAAAAAATTACTTGGTAAGTTTTTTCTCTTAGGTTACTGCTGTGCTGCCTGCTGATAGGGCCGCTGCGCCTATGTATTTGTTTAATATGTCAAGCAATCATTAAATACAACATAGCATATTGCAAAAATGGTATTTGCTGTGAGAAACAGAATGGACCTCGGGTTCGGGTCGGGTTCGGGCTTAATATGTAAATGTGATTGTCGGGTCGGGGAGTCGGGTCGGGTTAAATGATCGCGGGTACGGGCCGGGTTCGGGCTTCAGTTTAAAGCCCGTGCAGACCTCTACCACAATCACAACCTCAAAGCAGAAATGAGGGAGAAACACAGAGAAACACCTATAAGGGTCTTTCCTTGCCATTAATGCTTGGATAACACACACACGTCTCTTTTCATTAATAATAATAATGTCTAGTGCGGTGGCTCTGATGTATATAAAGCTACCAACGTCCGTCGCCATGATTTTTGGAATGACTTATCGCGAGAGGAAAAAATTACGCTTTAGTCGCATAACATTGGTTAAAGGGAAACGCCGTCATTTCGCAATAGTTTTTTATTGACATATAGAAAAAATCGCAAAAGTTTTGCGCAAATCTGTAATGGAAATGCGACTATTGACACTGACGAAGCTTCACTGCATCTTCCCCCATACAATTAGATTATATTGACCACGTCTCCAGCTCCAAAAACACCATAATGGTTCTTAAAGGGGTGGTATAATGCTCTTTTCACAAGATGTGAAATAAGTCTCTGATGTCCCCAGAGTGTGTGTGAAGTTTTAGCCCAAAATACCCCACAAATATTTTTATATAGCATGGTAAAATTGTCACTTTTTGAGGGTGAGCAAAAACGCACCGTTTTGTGTCTGTCCCTTTAAATGCAAATGAGCTGCTGCTCCCGGCACAGTGGGCGGAGCTTCAACAGCTTGTGTCCTTTTACCTCACACACACATGAAAATGAAAATTTCAACAACTTTTAGCCTTTTATGTTCAAACCGGACAATGATGGAGAGACTCAAGATGAAGTGACAACATGTAGAAGCAACAGGACATCCCTGAACGTTTAATTGATGAATTTATGTAGCTTATGTGTAGTTATCTTCTAGTCATTGATTAGCATATTCTGTAATGATAATCTATAAATCGTGTTCTGGGGGCGGGGTTTATGTAAATGTTAGGGTTAGTGATGTCACTAACCCGTGAAGTAGCTTGTGTAGTTCCTACCAGCCGTTTGTTGTAGTCCTTAAAAAGCGATTTCTGTAAAAGCAAATATCTCCCTTTGCTTTGAACCTTGAACGTTGTAACTTTGCAGATGTTGTTTATGCTCAAACAGCAACATTACACACTAACTAAAGTTAGAAAAGTGAAATCATAATCAACCACCCCTTTAACTTTACACAGTTATTGAACTGAACTGAATAACACTGACCTGATTTCAGCTGAATAATGACTAGAGCTGCTTTACATTAGAATTGAATTCTGTTTGCATTGTTGATCATCATTATTTTCCTGTTTATCCATGTAAAGCTGTTTTTGAAACAATCTTTAAACAAACAAAGGGCTTTATAAGTGAAGTTGACTTGACTTAAACTTATCATAAAAGTAGTCCATGTGACGGATCTGTGTAGAATGAGATTTGAGAGGAATGACGTCTATTCCTCACATAAAACTTCAAATGACTTGCAGTTTAGAGTTTGAGTCGTATCAACTGCAAGAAAGTGAATTTCTTCATCAGTCTTGTTTTCCAGTACAAATATGCAAGATGCATTTACTTGAGATGCAAAATGACTTCAGATATTAAGTCTTGTTTTTTTGTGTGTGAAAAATGTATCAAAATTAAGGGAGTATGCTTAAAGTCGATAGTAGTCAATAATTTGATCCCTTAAAACTAAATCAAACCAAAATGAGATATTTAAACGTTTCTTCCTTGAAAAAAAAAACTCGTCATGCCTTAAAATATCTTGAATGTAACTCGACACCATTGCCTCATTTAGTATATGCGGTTCTATGAATATGCAAATGAGCCCCGCCTCCACTCACTCACTCAGCTCAGAGATCCACTGGTTGACGATCACACGTTGATCTGATTGGTTACAAGGTCGTTTGTGACGTCAGAAACACCAGCGATTTCAAACCGTGTTTTTGTGGTTCGCTCCAGTTTTAAGGAGAAAATACTCAGCAATGCTGTCGACTTTACACATGGTTTGTCTTAAAGCATATTAAAAACACCACATAGACATATAATCAACATTAAAAGCTGGATTTTTTTTTACCATGGGGGCCTTTAATACAAGAATAAGTGTCTGTGAGGTATGAAAAATAATCCTAATTCTTGCTTTTTCAGAATGCAAGACGTAACATCTGAAGCCATTTTGCTTCTCAAGTAAATTTAAGAATGTTTAGATATTTACAATGGAAAACAAGACTGAGTAAGACAATCTATTTTATTTATTTTTGCAGTGTGTTGCTTTTATTAAGCCTTGTGGCTTTGTAGTTTTTGCACTTTTTGGAGCTTGACAGAAAATAGCTATATGAAGATTTAATTTATGTTCCACAGAAAATAAATAACAGTGTTAATACTAACTGACTTGAACCAGAATTATTATTATTATATTATTATTGTTATATATTATTATATTAAAATGATTGTTAACTGAAATAAAATACAAATGCAAAAACTTGTATTTCAGCTAGTTGATTTAGCAAGATTTCTTATTTTCATTTAGTTTAACTTTATGTACTAAAATAACAAAAACTAAAGCTGAAATTAATAAAAAAATATATTAAAAGAAATATATAAACCATTTAAGACTAAACTGGGAAGGGTCATAGCACTTGCATATCGTTGTCCTATTGTTGCTTCTATTCTCCTCATTTGGATAAAAGCGTCTGCTAAATGATTAAATGTAAATGTAAATAATGACTTGATTTGAATTTATAGGTGATTTAATAATGTTCCGGTGGCTTGTCCACTGTTTAGCAGTGTCAATGTACTTTGAGCAGGTTTTCCCATACTGGTGTTGAATGTCTTTCCCAGGCGGACTAACTCTGGGAAGCGCGGCGTGTGGGTGTATGAGATCGGGACGTTCCCTCACTTCACGAACGTCGCCCCTGGAGAAGTGCTGGATATTCCCTCGGATTCCCACACATTCAGGACCGCAGGAACACACAACCAGCAAGTCCAGGTCTATCCCGATATCCAACAGGAGAACCTGGATGGAGTTTACCATCGTCCAGAACACCCTCCTCCCATTCAGGTGCACACGGTTCAGTTCACACCACAAGATCCCGAGGTCGTGGAACTCGAGAATGAGGACATCAATGTGCACGGTCTGCATGAATGGTTTATTTGCTAGAATAATGAACAGCTTTGTACTTTTCTTGAGCCCGAATGACTCTTATTCTTTGCGTACAGTATTTACGTACAACTCTGGGGATTGTGGCGGGCACAGATGCTCCAAATTTGGCGAATGTAGGAATAATCCGAGTGGAAGATGCTGCCAGTGCAAGCCTGGATACTACGGCAATGGGATTCAATGCGTATCTGATGGTAATGTATCTCTCTAATGAGTTCAGTTATTATTGCTTTCATTTCTATTATAGAATTGTTTTCGTATGATGGGTTATGATCACTGACAGCCTGTGCAAATGTAAATATATACAGTATATTTAGGACAGCAAAATAAATTAGACTAGAGCTTGGCCCAAAACAAATTTGATAAAATATTTTAACTCCCCTTGAGATTTTAAGTTAATATTTCAATCTTTTAATAACACATTCATGTTCACAGCAGTTTCATTTTAGTATCTTAATATTTTGAAATTGTTTTTATTTTTATATTTTCCGGTTTCATTTAAATTTTAGTTAGTTTTAATAATTTTGTTGAATGTTTTTGTCATTTTTAATAGTTTTTGTTTTTTTAAATGGTTTATATATTTCTTTTAATATATTTTTTTTTATTAATTTCAGCTTTAGTTTTTGTTATTTTAGTACATAAAGTTAAACTAAATGAAAATAAGAAATCTTGCTAAATCAACTAGCTGAAATACAAGTTTTTGCATTTGTATTTTATTTCAGTTAACAATCATTTTAATATAATAATATATAACAATAATAATATAATAATAATAATTCTGGTTCACAGTTTTCTGACCATTAATCTGGTTAATGGTCACATGACATGAAGATGAAAAAAAAAAAAGTTATTCATTTTCATTTCATTTCATTCATGTTCATATTTTTTTAATAATTGTTTTAATTACCCTTTTTATAAACAGTCAAGTTACTATTACATAACAACACTTACATTTACCAGTAATACTAATAATCAACTGTTTATATCATATTATTAAAATAATAATATGATGATTATAAAATAAAATAGCAAAAAATAACAGTCAAAAACAAAACAACAACAAAAACAGTTTGGGAAATCCTGGATTAGAATATACAATGTTTCACATGTAACCAGTTGCTGACATCAAAGTCTGTGTCCTATTTTGGGACAAAAGATGAATTTATTACTTGAATAGTACAATATGACTAAAACTAACTGTAGCACCTCATTGCAGTACACGAGATCCAGGGGGTGGAGTTGGATCCAGATCTAAGGGGTGGAGATGGGTAGGATTAGGGGTGGGGTTAGAGATCAGCGGGGGGAGATGGGTAGGATTAGGGGTGGGGTTAGGGATCAGGGGGCGGAGATGGGTAGGATTAGGGGTGGGGTTAGGGATCAGGAGGCGGAGATGGGTAGGATTAGGGGTGGGGTTAGGGATCAGGAGGCGGAGATGGGTAGGATTAGGGGTGGGGTTAGGGATCAGGAGGCGGAGATGGGTAGGGTAGGTTTAGGGGTTAGGGATCAGGAGGCGAAGATGGGTAGGATTAGGGGTGGGGTTAGGGATCAGGAGGCGGAGATGGGTAGGGTAGGTTTAGGGGTTAGGGATCAGGAGGCGGAGATGGGTAGGATTAGGGGTGGGGTTAGGGATCAGGAGGCGGAGATGGGTAGGGTAGGTTTAGGGGTTAGGGATCAGGAGGCGGAGATGGGTAGGATTAGGGGTGGGGTTAGGGATCAGGAGGCGGAGATGGGTAGGGTAGGTTTAGGGGTTAGGGATCAGGAGGCGGAGATGGGTAGGATTAGGGGTGGGGTTAGGGATCAGGAGGCGGAGATGGGTAGGATTAGGGGTGGGGTTAGGGATCAGGAGGCGGAGATGGGTAGGATTAGGGGTGGGGTTAGGGATAAGGGGGCGGAGATGGGTAGGGTTGGTTTAGGGGTTAGGGATCAGGAGGCGGAGATGGGTTGGATTAGGGGTGGGGTTAGGGATTTAGGGGTTAGGGATCAGGAGGCGGAGATGTGTAGGATTAGGGGTGTGGTTAGGGATCAGGAGGCGGAGATGGGTAGGATTAGGGGTGGGGTTAGGGATCAGGAGGTGGAGATGAGTAGGATTAGGGGTGGGGTTAGGGATCAGGGGGCGGAGATGGGTAGGATTAGGGGTGGGGTTAGGGATCAGGAGGCGGAGATGGGTAGGATAAGGGGTGGGGTTAGGGATCAGGGGGCGGAGATGGGTAGGTTTAGGGGTGGGGTTAGGGATTTAGGGGTTAGGGATCAGGAGGCGGAGATGGGTAGGATTAGGGGTGGGGTTAGGGATTTAGGGGTTAGGGATCAGGAGGCGGAGATGTGTAGGATTAGGGGTGGGGTTAGGGATCAGGAGGTGGAGATGAGTAGGATTAGGGGTGGGGTTAGGGATCAGGAGGCGGAGATGGGTAGGATTAGGGGTGGGGTTAGGGATCAGGAGGCGGAGATGGGTAGGATTAGGGGTGGGGTTAGGGATCAGGGGGCGGAGATGGGTAGGTTTAGGGGTGGGGTTAGGGATCAGGGGGCGGAGATGGGTAGGTTTAGGGTTGGGGTTAGGGATCAGGGGGCGGAGATGGGTAGGATTAGGGGTGGGGTTAGGGATCAGGGGGCGGATATGGGTAGGGTTAGGGTTAGGGGTGGGGTTAGGGATCAGGAGGCGGAGATGGGTAGGATTAGGGGTGGGGTTAGGGATCAGGAGGCGGAGATGGGTAGGTTTAGGTATATGTAAGGTGGGAGGGATCCAGATCCAACTCCTCCCCCTGGATTTCGTGTTCTGCAGCGAGGACCATCTCAAAACTAATACAATATTAACTATGCCCATTCCATTTACAGTAATATTAATAGATTTCATGTTTGAATTGTCTGACATATTTGTTACTTTTATACAGTAAACAGATTTTGTTGAGTCCTGAGAAAAGCCTCTGAGATCTGAATGATCTTTCACAGGGATCCCTCAGAGGATGAACGGTAAAGTGAGCGGCAGGGTGTTCGTGGGAGACTCGCCGGTGCCCGTGGACTTTGCTAGCAACGATCTCCACTCGTATGTGGTGGTTAATGACGGCAGAGCCTATGTGGCCATCAGCGCCATCCCAGCGATCGTGGGCTTCTCTCTTCAGCCGCTGTCGTCCGTCGGGGCGGTCATCGGATGGGCTTTTGCACTTCAGCAGCCGGGCTTTAAGAATGGCTTCAGCATCATTGGTGAGATTTTCATATAGTGAGAAGTCATTGGTGGTGGTTGAAGAGATAAAGCTCGTTGAGTACCTAGAAAAGCGCTATATAAATGTAACGAATTATGATTGTTATTATAAGTCGTCAATAAAATCCATCTCACATTAAATGGTAGTGTTATATCAAATGAAAAGAAAATGTAAAGCAAATGTTATTTAGATCAGGGTTTTTTTTATGGAAGCTTGTTTCCATCCAAATTAAAAAAATCTTAAAGATAATTCAGACTTTTTATCTCGCAGTCCTGACATTTTTTATGTCCCACAATTCGGATTTTATTACTCGCAATTGCGAGTTTATATCTCACAATTCTGAGAAAAAAAGTCACTCACAAATTTTTCTTTTTTCTTGTGTGAAATGAAAGTTATAAAGTCAGAATCGTAAAATAAAAGGTGAAAATATAACTTTTTTATTTTTTATTCCACGGCGGAAACGAGCTTTTTCAGTTCTAAGGGGGTACATGGAAAAGTTTAGAGAAAAACAATGCAAAAAATAAATAAATGATTAAAAAAACTATATTAAATAAATATATATTTAAATTAATAAGTAAATAATTGAAAATATGATTACAGTAAAGAAATAAATAAATAATACATCTAACAGTACGGTACTATAGTGAGTAAAAAAAAATCATAACATTATGTAATATGAACTAAATATTTTCTAAATGGTATTATACATAAATAGTGATAATAAATTTTAGATTTGGGGTTCATCTAAAAGATTTAAAACCCCAGATTTACATAAATAATTATATGTATTTCTTTCATAGAAATTCCTCATAGGTAATCCTCTTATTTTCTATTATGAAATATGCATTTGAAAAGGTGTATCTGCCATATTTCGACTAAATATAAATAACATCTAAGAACTATTTTCACTTCGTGCAAATATCCTCTATTTAACATATAGTGTATTTAGAGGGTGCAGAAAGATCCAGATCAGTTTCAGTTCAAGCCGGATTTCAGCAAATATTTCTTACAACACACCATCCCATTTAAAATCAATTCAGCAACTCTAAACTCAAGTGTGTAAACACTCTTGTTTTGAGTTGAAATGTTTGATGGAAATCCAGCCTCACACTCCCATCTCTCAGGCGGAGAGTTCAAGCGCCGGGCCGATGTGACCTTCCAGCCGGGCGGAGAGAGGTTGACCATCTCTCAGGAGTTCAAAGGCATTGATGAGCACGACCACCTGATGGTCGACACCAGACTCGAAGGAAAGATTCCCGAGGTTCCTCAGGGAGCCAAGATTCAGATCGACCCCTACACCGAGATCTACCAGTATAGCAGCAACTGTGAGTCCAACATGCATGATTTCCCATCATTCACAGCACAAGAATGATCAAATATACAGATAAAACTGCGTTTCCTTTGCACTTCAGTTGGCAATAGTGCTTAAAAGCATCCAGTGTCTGTTCGGAAGTGAAATTTCATGCATTTCTATTTGCAGTAGCGTTCAAAAGTTTGGGTTCGGTAAGATTTATTTTCAGCAAAGATGCATTAGATTGATCAAACGTGACATTTGAAATGTTACAAAAGATTATATTTCAAATAAATGCTGTTCCTTTGAACTTTCTATTCATCAAATAATCATTGTAATAATATTTTATAATTTTTTACAGTGTTTTTGATCAAATAAATGCAGCCTTGGTGAGCAGAAGAAACTCACATTAAAACATTAAAAAATGTCACCAACCAAAAAATTCAAGTCCCTTTGTGAAGCCGATTGACGCATGTGTGTCTCTTCCTGTCAGTGATCACCTCTTCATCCACACGGGAGTATGTGATTGATCTACAGGACCGTTCGACCCAGAGCAGAAGCTACACCTTCAGAGAAACCATCACGTTTCAGGGCTGCCAGCACGATGACCCCGGCAGAGCCACGCCGTCCACACAGATGCTCAGCGTCGACCAGGTGTTCGTCATGTACGATATGGGCGAACAGCTCTTGCGTTACGCCATGAGTAACAAGATTGGAGACATCAACGGTGAGGGATGATCTACTTTTACATTTATGCATTTGGCAGACGCTCTTATCCAAAGCGACTTGCATTGCATTTCAAGGTCCACATTTTACATTCTTATCAGTTCTTGCTTTCCCTGGGAATCGAACCCATGACCTCGGCGTTGCAAGTGCCAGCGCTCTACTGTTTGAGCTACAGAAATATTAGTAACACTTTTCTTGAAGGGGTGTGCATAAGACTGACATGACACCTTCATAATCATGAATATGAAGGAGGTTTAAATGCATGTTTATGACAACTGTCATTAAGTGTCATTCGCTCAATTATGACATTTTTAATGCAAATATGACATTATTTGAAATGTCTTTGTCATGACAACTTGAAGGTCGCGGTGAAGGAATTTCCCTTGCGGTAATTTTGAGTGGCTCAATAGCGCGATATGCGGTATTACCGCCATTTATTTATTTATATTTATTTGTTGCTATAAATACGTGTTATGATGTGGTCAGCATACACAAAAACAATGTAACCAAAACTAAACAGCGTCTCTGCGCATTGAAAGACTGTCACTCATCGTGCAGTTACATTGTTATCCCAACGGACTCTCTTTGAGTCATAGACTGAGTGAGTCATTAAACCGTTCATTCAACGAAAACGTTCAAAAAAGCTGATTCCTTAAATGATAGATGTAATGAAACAAGGCGTTAATTATTTTTTTTAAATTTGAGCTCCACTTTTCAAGGCTCAGCTGGCCAGCAATGCTTCATTTTTGGGCAAAGCTGAAGCAATGCTTCACTTAATAGAGACCAATGCGTGACTCGCTGCTTTCCCCCCACGGCTTCCTCGCGCTGTGTAATGCTGACCAGCGCTGACGCCATTCATGGTAAAATAGCCTTACACGTTAAAGGTGCTCTATGTAACTTTTCTACTAAAATGAATCCTTTTTTTATTGCCTGTGTGTGAAGGGGTTGTAATCACACATTAAAATGATCCACTTGTCGAGTTTTGCTATTACCTCTGAAGGCCAGTATTCCTATTTCTATGTGAAGTCTCCGGGTCGGATTTACCGCGAAATCCATCGGATGTGACGTGCATGCGCGCTCCCGAGCCTCTCTCCTTATATACAGTCTATTGTAGACGGTCAGGGAGTTACGTCCGGTTAAAGGGGCACGTTTTTCGGCTTATATCTCAGTCAATCTTTGATCAATATTCCCAAGACTCTAATCGTTCGTAGTGCTGGACGGGGCCTTTCGAACGAGCCCACCCCCGAGGTCCAACTCGCCCGGCTCCCCGAGTTATAGCCGTTCGAAATCCGGGGTCCCAGCGAACGGCGATCCGGTAGGGGGCATACCCGAGGTCCGCCACTCTAGCGTTCGGGCAAGGGTTCCCCTGGGACCTCCTACCCCGAATTTGAGCTCTCTGGGTCTTTGCGTTCCAGAGATACGAGCGATTTTCTTCTGAGATCGTGACGTCACCGGCGTCCGCAATTTTGCAGCGCGCCCGATAGTTTTCTGCTAATATCTCCGCGAAAACACCACCAAAAACTATGGAACTTATATGGTTCTTTTCAGCTCGACTAGATGGTCCCAACGAGCTCGGTGCTCGCCGAATCCGTCAAGTATTCGCCGAGATATTTGCGTAATAGACGGTATTGTCTATGAGTTCGAGCACGAGCGCTCTTGTAAAATTTGGTTGCAATCTGAAACATCACCACTAGAGGCCGCTAAAAGTTACGTAGAGCACCTTTAAAAGGATGATACGACAAATATTTCGCTTTCCTTGGAAACGGCAACCTTTTCACGAATATACAGGACTTGACTTCAAAGACAGACGCAGGTAATCGCACGCGCTCAGGCGATCTCTCATTCACTGTCTGTTTAGGCTTAAGTCCAAATCCACGAAGCCTCTGTACAAATCACCATGATAAACAGTCTTGTTATCATTATTAACTTATTTAACATTCCATACACATGGTACGAACTACGAAGGGTGGCCTTATGAAAAAAGAAAACGCGGTTTGGCGGTTGCTGCGGTTACTTGCATTCCTCTGCGGTTGGCCTGTCAGTAGCGCGGTACCGCAATATTGCAGTTATCGCGACAGCCCTAAATGTAATGTCAACCCATAAAGCTAAGTGGTTTCTTAAGTTTGATAATTAATCTGCTATGTCATGTTTATTACATATTTATGACAAATTTATGTTGTCTTGGTAATGTAAAATTACCAAGACAGGTTATGATGTATTGGTTTATGTCAAGTTGTCATAACAAAGACATCTCAAACAATGTCATATTTGCATTCAAAATGTCATAATTGAGCGAATGACACTTAATGACAGTTGTCATAAACATGCATAAAACCATGCATATGATTATGAAAGTGTCATGTCAGTCTTATGCACACCCCTTCAAGTAAAGTGTAACCATATTTACCTACAGGCAAAAACACTTGAGATTTTAGGCTATTTGGCATTTAATAAAGTGTTGTTTCAGACTAGTTTAAAGAAAACCTTCAAAATACACTTTTAAATGTATATTTTATTGCACTTTGTCTATTTGCATCTGTAGATTACAATTACTATCTTTAGAGGCTGTGAGTTTGAGTCAGAAATCTCCTTCTCTGCAGCTTCACACACACCAAGCTATACAGTTTTATTCACATCTATATTCTGAACGTTTTTACAGAGCGGTTTGTTCATATAAGATTTGCCTTTTACGGCTGTTGACAGTATTTTTTTTATTTATGAAGTGATAAAAAGAGATGTAGAAACCTTTAATATGTCAACAAAATCAAACAAGTATTTTGAAGGTGGCTTTATTCAGTGTTCAGGTTTCAAATGTACGCGATTGAGTGCATTTTTAATTTATAATAAAATTTGTGACGTCACACGCTGTGGTATTGCAAGATGGCGGCGCCCTTGCTCCAAAAGCTATAACAAAACATCCCCTTTTCTTTAAAATGGTTACATTAAACGGTTAGTTCACCCAAAAATTTAAATTCTGTCACTAATTACTAATTACTTACTATTCATTTACTTCTGTGTGGGCCTCGAGTGAGTTCACGTAGTGTAACAGCGCAGCGCTTCTGGGTTGTACGTCACACGCATCACACACATGACCAGCGTCGGCCAATAGTGAGCCGACGTTCTGACGTATAACCCAGAAGCGCTGCGCTGTTACACTACGTGAACTCACTCGAGGCCCACAGAGAAGAACATGAATAGATGAATAAAGTCATTATTTAAATTAATACATGATGATTAACTAACTATATTCTTCTATGTACATTTCTGAAATGCACTTTCTGTAAAGCTGCTTTGAAACAATATGTATTGTGAAAAGCGCTATACAAATAAATTTGAATTGAATTGAATTGAATTATTTTGGTTTTTCTCGTCGCTTGATAAACTGTAGTCACTCGGACTATTTTAACGATGTCTTTACTAACTTTTCTGGGCCGGCAAGTTTCAATAACATAGAAGCCTATGGAGGAGTGATCAGCTCTCAGATTTAATCAAAAATATCTTAATTTGTGTTCTGAAGATGAACGAAAGTCTTACGGGGTTGAACAACACGAGGGAGAGTCATTACTGACAGAGTTTACATTTTGGGGTGAACTATCCCTTTAAATGTGTTTTTTTATTGAAGTGGAAATCAGTTTAATAAATAATGTTAACTTGACAGCTTCATTTCCACTTTAAGTTTAATGTATATTCACAATAGTTGATTTTTATATATAATCCACAGGTGGACAGACGGAAGAGAACGCTTGCTTCACCGGGAGACACGGCTGCGATACTAACGCCGTATGCCGACCCGGACAAGGAAACCAGTTCACATGCGACTGTGCCGCGGGCTTTACTGGAGACGGACGCACTTGCAATGGTACGGTGCTGTGGGATAATCTAAGATTTTACCACAATTACATCTATCCTCAGTGTATCGTTTCAATTTAAACCATTTACTATTTAATTTCCCTCCTAAAACGCCCACTAATCTTCTTCCTTCAGAAGGGAAATCGATTTTCCTCATGAAAGTAGAGCTCAGCTTCCTAAGGGGGTCGTTTCCAAAGCAATCTTCTAATCAGACGTCAAAATTGTCTCCATGTCTGCATAAATATTCCCCCAGACCTCTAAGGATGTGAGCCATCCCTTGATGCTTAGAGGAAATTACACAAAAACGGGACAGATGTTATCTTAAAAAGATGCAATTATGAGAACCGATGGTATCATCGTTAGTGATCCGTGGGAATGTGGCTATAAGGAAGTCTAATGTTTATGATAGCATTAAAGCGGTTGTGGAAATACTCACTAAAGTTTAGTCTGCTTTCCTTGTCTCATTAGACATCGATGAATGCAGGGAAACCCCTCAGATCTGTGGGCCGAACGCCGTCTGCAACAACCAGCCGGGAACGTTTCGCTGCGAGTGTCGGGACGGCTTCCAGTTCGCTAGTGATGGACAGACATGTGTTGGTGTGTGAGTCAGTAGATGTTTATGTCTGTTTGTGTTCATCATCATCATTATTTGTTGACAAAATCCCCCTCTATAAAGCTATTTGCATCATAAAATTACCACATTGTAAAGTAATGGTCCAAACATAATCTAAAGAAAACATGGACTGGTTTCACAGACAGGGCTTAGATTAAGCCAGGATTAGGCCTTAGTTCAATTTGGGCATTTAAATAGCTTTTATAAACGTGCCTTTGAAAAAAAACATTCTTGAGACAAAACAGTGGCACTGATATATTTTAAGTTGCTTTCAGTTAAAGCAGATCAAACATGCAGTTTAGTCTGGGACTAGACTCAAGCCTTGTCTGTGAAACTGGGGTTATAATACTTTATTTTCATGGGAAAAATTAAACAAATCGCATTTGTTTTTCCAAGACAAGATTGAGATTAAATGGAAAGCAAATACTTCTGATGTTTCTGATCCCTATCCATAGAGGTTGTCGCTCATATGAAGCTCATTATTTCTCATTATTTTAGCCTGTAGCTCTTATTAACCATAGATGTCAATTTTCAATTTTCAATTTAAAATACTTTATTGGCATGATTGTAATGACAAGAAAAAGAAATATACAACATAACAATAAATTGTGTTAAAATAAGGTGCTAAGTAATAAATAAAATATGCTGCTTTATATTTTTGTGTAAACCGTTTTAACAGTGTAAAACCATTTTTTTTCAGGATTCATTTGTTAAATAGACTCCAAACCGTGTACACTACTGTTCAAAAGTTATATAAAAATATGAATCAGCACAACTGTTTTCAACATTGATAATAATCATAATGTTTCTTGAGCATCAGATCATCATATTACAGTGATTTCTGAAGGATCATGTGACACTGAAGACTGGAGTAATGATGCTGAAAATTCAGCTTTGATCACAGGAATAAATTACACTTTACTGTATATTCACATAGAAAACAGCTATTTTAAATTGTAATAATATTGCACTGTTTTTACTGTATTTTTGATCAAATAAATGCAGCCTTGGTGAGCAGAAAAGACTTAGTGTATGTACAGTATATAAAAGAAAAAGATAATGGATGTCTCATTGATTTTAAAATGTATGTGATTGTGAATACAATAGCAGCTCAGGTCCTTTGATGAGACATGTTTGGGTTAAGATTGAGATCTGTGACTTTTGATTACAGACTTTGAGACACTTTTGAGATCTCTTAAGAAAATGCGTGTGAGATTACTGGGCTCTTTTTTTTCTAAAACATCTTAAGAAGCAGAAGACTTCAGCCAAAGTCTCAGTTTGCTCTCTATTTAATCTCACTGCAGTCTAGGAGAATTGAGATTGAGATATTTAAGAGATCTCTTGTATGATTTCTGTGGAGATATTCAGACATTCCCGGTTTAAAATGTGCCTAATAAGTGATTTAACTTTCTGAATTAGATTTTTATTGAATCCGCTGTCTTGTGTTGTCCTGTAGAAGTGCACCGTCCCGTGGACCCGTGCCGCACCGGCACTCACGACTGTGACGTCCCTGAACGCTCTCGCTGTAGTTACACCGGCGGATCCTCCTACATCTGCTCCTGCTTGCCGGGATTCATGGGAGATGGACGAAGCTGTCAGGGTGAGTTACTACTCCTCTGTTCCAGCTGTCTCTACCTCTCTATACCAGAGACACTTTAATTTATAAGACAAGAAGAATGCACACCATTTTATGCGAAACAGTACTAGTTGACTAATGAGTTTCATATGCATTTTTACAGTTGCATTAATCTATGCTAGGAGTTGAACGACTTCAGATTTTTTGAAGTTGACTGTTATGACATCAAAGTCGAGTCGACGTCGACTAGTCGCTGACGTCATTCATAAAAACACAAGAGATGGGACTGCTTTGCAACATGCCACAATTTGCAATTTATTAGCAGAATATTATTAGGGTTGGGTACCGAAACCGGGCACCGATATGGAACCTAAGTAACCTGTATGTAACCGGACCGAATCAAAACGCAGATTTTGGTACCACTTAAATGCCTTGTCGGTTTAAATATATGCCCTCTGGTAGGGCTGCACGATTAATCGAATTTTAATCACGATCACGATTTTGGCATCCCACGATCAAATTCGCGTGATTGAGCGATATTTAAAATGCGCCATTCCGTTCATAGAACGCTCCGTTTTTTGTTTTGTTTTCAAAGCGCTCCGTAAACCACTGTCTGATCAAGTGCCTCCACCATGAGCCAATCAGTGTTGTTCCCTGCACCGCGCAAAAGATTTCGAGTGTGTCTGCGCGCGAGCGACAGCGCGAGAGAGAGGCCGAGTGTGTCCGAGAGCGCGCTCGACAGTGCGCAAAAGATTCCGAGTGTGTCTGTGCGCGAGTGACAGCGCACGAGAGAGGCCGAGTGTGTCCGAGAGCACGCTCCACAGTGTGCGAAAGATTCCGAGTGTGTCTGCGCGCGAGCGACAGCGCACGAGAGAGACCGAGTGTGTCCGAGAGCGCGCTCCACAGTGTGCGAAAGATTCCGAGTGTGTCTGCGCGCGAGCGACAGCGCGAGAGAGAGACCGAGTTTGTCCGAGAGCGCGCTCCACAGTGTGCGAAAGATTCCGAGTGTGTCTGCGCGCGAGCGACAGCGCGAGAGAGAGACCGAGTTTGTCCGAGAGCGCGCTCGACAGTGCGCGAAAGATTTCGAGTGTGTCTGTGCGCGAGCAACATTGCGCGAGAGAGAGACCGAGTGTGTCCGAGAGCACGCTCGACAATGCGCGAAAGATTTCGAGTGTGTCTGCGCGCGAGCAACATTGCGCGAGAGAGAGACCGAATGTGTCCGAGAGCGCGCTCGACAGTGTGCGAAAGATTCCGAGTGTGTCTGCGCGCGAGCGACAGCGCGAGAGAGAGACCGAGTGTGTCCGAGAGCGCGCTCGACAGTGTGCGAAAGAATCCGAGTGTGTCTGCGCGCGAGCGATAGCGCGGGAGAGAGACCGAGTGTGTCCGAGAGCACGCTCGACAGTGCGCGAAAGATTCCGAGTGTGTCTGCGCGCGAGCGACAGCGCGCGAGAGAGACCGAGTGTGTCCGAGAGCGCGCTCGACAGTGCGCGAAAGATTTCGAGTGTGTCTGCGCGCGAGCAACAGCGCGAGAGAGAGAGACCGAGTGTGTCCGAGAGCGCGCTCGACAGTGCGCGAAAGATTTCGAGTGTGTCTGCGCGCGAGCAACATTGCGCGAGAGAGAGACCGAGTGTGTCCGAGAGCGCGGTCGACAGTAAGCAAAAGATTCCGAGTGTGTCTGCGCGCGAGCGACAGCGTGAGAGAGAGACCGAGTGTGTCCGAGAGCACGCTCGACAGTGTGCGAAAGATTCCGAGTGTGTCTGCGCGCGAGCGACAGCGCACGAGAGAGACCGAGTGTGTCCGAGAGCGCGCTCGACAGTGTGCGAAAGATTCCGAGTGTGTCTGCGCGCGAGCGACAGCGCACGAGAGAGACCGAGTGTGTCCGAGAGCGCGCTCGACAGTGTGCGAAAGATTCCGAGTGTGTCTGCGCGCGAGCGACAGCGCGAGAGAGAGGCCGAGTGTGTCCGAGAGCACGCTCGACAGTGCGCGAAAGATTCCGAGTGTGTCTGCGCGCGAGCGACAGCGCGCGAGAGAGACCGAGTGTGTCCGAGAGCGCGCTCGACAGTGCGCGAAAGATTTCGAGTGTGTCTGCGCACGAGCAACAGCGCGAGAGAGAGACCGAGTGTGTCCGAGAGCGTGCTCGACAGTGCGCGAAAGATTCCGAGTGTGTCTGCGCGCGAGCAACAGCGCGAGAGAGAGACCGAGTGTGTCCGAGAGCGCGCTCGAAATCTTTCAATATTTAATGCATGTTTGAATAAATCTGGCAGTTTTTATGACAGCCACCATTTAAATTTGTATATTTCATATAACTTTCTTATTATAAAAATAAATAAAAGTGTAATTTAAGTGTTTGAATCGCTACAAGTCAGTTAATTTTTACCTTCAACATTATAGTAGGCTAATGAAGCCTATAGGCTACAACTGACTCCCATAGTTTACAGCATTAGTTAAGAGATTTGTTTTCCTTGAGAAAATTTGCCATGTATTGTACCTGATATCCAAAATAATCTATATTGAATCGTAATCGAATCGAATTGCAAGCTTGTGAATCGAAATCGAATCGAATTGTGAAATTTGTGTCAATACCCAGCCCTAGTGGTAACCGTAGTATAAGGGGAATAATCTGCTCCGCTTCACGTCGTGGTGGCGACATGACCACCTCAGGTGTGCATTATTTTCTAATAATTCAATGGGTCGTCGTCAATTGTTCTTTACTTATTAAACATTTAACTGTGCTTATCTGTCATGGAAATGTATCTTAATGGTCCTATAAATGGGCGTTTCTTTCTTTCAGACATAGACGAGTGTCAGGTGAGCCAGTGTCATGAGAATGCCGTTTGTTTCAACACACCTGGATCTTTCACCTGTCAATGTAACGCTGGTTTTTATGGCGACGGATTCCGCTGCTCTACAGGTAGAGTCCAGCTTTAAATGAAGATCGGTTCTGTCTTTTGGTTTTTATCACATGGAGTCTTGTGTTCTTCATTCTTTTCATTCACTCATACAAAGCCAAAGTATTTATTACTGGCATATTTAGCGAAAATTCATCAGGTTTTTGCATGTTGTGGTTTGTACATCAGGCTTAAAGGATTAGTTCACTTCAGAAAAATAAAATTTCCTGATAATTTACTCATCCCCACGTCATCCAGATGTTCATGTCTTTCTTCAGTCGAAAAGAAATCAGAAAAGAGCATGTGGGTAAAACGTATATAAATGTTTATTTTTTTAATAAAATGGCCGATGGTTTGTCTAGATAAGACTCTTATTCCTCGGCGGGATCGTGTCGAGACTTTGAAGCTGCACTGAAACTCACATTTGGACCTTCGATCCGTTGGACCCCATTGAAGTCACTATATGGAGAAACATCCTGGAATGCTTTCCTCAAAAACCTTAATTTCTTTTCGACTGAAGAAAGAAAGACATGAACATCTTAGATGACATGGGGAGAGTAAATTATCAGGAAATTTGAATTCTGAAGTGAACTACTGCTTTATGCCCCGTTTACACAAAGGGAAGACGCAGAGGTTTGGCCTCTCATTTACACGAAAACCCCGTTTTTAACACAGAAAACGATTATTTCTAAAAACTCCGGCCAAAGTGTAGATTTCTGATAACGCCGGTTATGTGTGGCCGTGTCGACCGGGAGAAACGGGGTTTTAGGTTCTCAAACGTCACATTATGCGCCAGAAAATGCTTAAAGGGGGGGTGAAACACTCAGTTTCACTCAATCTCATGTTAATCTTGAGTACCTATAGAGTAGTATTGCATCCTTCATATCTCCAAAAAGTCTTTAGTTTTATTATATTTATAAAAGAAAGATAGGCTGTACCGAGTCTTTCCGGAAAAACCCGAGCGGGTGGAGGCGTGCCGTGTGGGCGGAGCTAAATAATCACGACACGAGCGCGCGAAGCTTTTGCGTTGAGAGCGTCTGGAAGCTGTGAGTGACATCCGAAAATAAACCAGGGCTAACAATCAGATAGTAATCCCATGCAGAACAAGGATCTAAACAATACTAAGGGCTCGTTCATACAGAACGCGTTTTTGCTCACAAAAACGTGAGATGGGCAGTGAAATGCATGGGTGAAAACCATAAGGTCTCGAGCGTTTTAAAAAAAATAGAAATGATTTTAACTTGAGCGCAGTGTTTTTAGAACACCATGTCATGCGCGAGTTTTATAACATTTGTGTGTTGTAAACAGACAGACTCGTGGTTTATGAGGACATTATTTATTTTTACAATAAACAAACTGAAACCTACAGTGGCCAGCTAAACAAATGTATTTAAACACACACACACCATACATCGCATGCTCCATAGATATACATTAACTGTATGTGATCATGTTGTTTACTTGCTGTGCTTACAAGCCGATAGTTAACAACTCACAGACATTTGAAGCAGTTTTACTCACCGCCTGCGGTTCCAACGCACGACTGTGAACCTTTATCGTTGGGACTGCTCCATCTTAAAAGTATTAGGCAATCTGCAAATCCGGCGTTGAACTGGGCCTTGTTTATAAAACTATTACCGTCGAAATAAAGGGAACAAACAAAAACACTTGCACAACTCCGTTGCTGCTCTGGAAAAACAAAATCCATCCACTGGTCCCTTAACGCTGGGTTCTTTGGAAATTTGTGCAGTGTTGTCTTGCCCTTTTTTTAATTGCAGCGCAGCCGACCGAGCCCAGCGCTCTGATGGGCATAGGCGTAGGCTACTCTCGCAGGCACTAGGCTACAGATGCGCGCGCGCCCTTCCGGGAGAAGTGCCCTTAAGACCCGTATAAGGAAATTCCGGCCACTCTGACGTCACACACGCCCGTATTCGAAAAAAACTTTCCGAAACTTGTGACAACCCGGAAGGAGTATTTTTGGAACAGAATTACTCCATCAAACTTACAACTTCATTTTTGAAACTTTGTCCATGTTTAGCATGGGAATCCAACTCTTTAACAGTGTAAAAAACTCACTATGCATGAAACAGCATTTCACCCCCCCTTTAACGTCATGTGAGCGCCCAGAGTTATGATGGCGCTCGACGGCGTATTTATCATAGACAGTCAAAGAAAGGTATTTATGCGGGTTGATGTAAATGACAACTTTTTTGAAAACGATGTTGTGTGCACGATGTTATAATTGAAAACGGAGGGGGGGGGGGATATTCGTTTTTCTAAATACGGTTTCTAAATTTAAATTTAAATAGCAAAATGTCTCAAGCGAAAAGGAAGCTGAGAGCTGTTTTTACCCACAGTTCAAACCACAAACCTTATCAGTCGTTCTAATGACAGACGACCCTCAACTCTTTAAATATTACAACATGACCTGACATCTTGACCTCTGAGTAAAAGGTTAAACCCTGCCGTCATGAATATGAGCTCGGCAGCTGCATGTCTGCTGGGAACTGGCCAGTTGCTTTGGCTTCTCAGAGTTTTAAGACCCCATAAAATCAATATCGTTGAGTTTTGTGACTTTTAGTCCATGTTTCTGAGCTGTAAGGTCATCTGTGTACTAGTATAGACCTAAAAAATGCCAGAATAAACATTATGCAGAAATATACACTATCGTTCAAAAGATTTGTTTTAATGTTCTTGAAAGAAGTCTCTTCTGCTCACCAATAGGGCTGTCACTTTTGTGAACAAATCCTGTTCGATTTTTGATAAGTGTTCATTGAATTTTATTTTATTTTTTATTTATTAATTTATTTGACATGGACATTGCAATTAAACATAGTACAAAACAAGTCAGTAACTGATGCTATGCAAAAAGAGTTTATAGCTATTGCTAATTTTCAACTCCAGTCAATGGTTGGGCCTTTACACTACAACATTTACTATTTCATCTTAAAAACATCTTTATAAACACATCAAATGAATCACTTACATACACAAACCAGTTATCTACAAAATGGGTACATTCCTGTTTCGATTTTATCCAAGACTTAACTCGAGAAGTAAACTGTTTAAACTCAGTCATTGTTTTAAATTCAGTGGGTAATGAATTCCACAATTGTGCACTTTTATATGAAAAAGCAGACTGACCAAATGTAGTCTCGATTTTATTTGACATGTCTCGACTCAAAAATCGACAAATGTTCGACAAATCCTCGGATCGGATTTTACATGTCTAAAGACGTTTCCATTTTCAACACCAAATATCGGCAAATCCACAGACAACTAACAGGCATTAGGACGAGCGTAAAGAGGGCGCTTGAGCACAAGTCAGCAATATTCCTGATGATTTATTGCCGTGAAGTTTCGTGCTCAATGACAAACAGGAGTGCAACATTCAGGGATTGAGATTAACACCCTCCGACCCGCCAAATGCGGGTATAAATGAGCTTTGGCGGGAAACGCTGTCAAATCACGAGCCAATCTGGCGTTTCTATGTTTACTCACTTTGCTGGGGAAGTTCGTGTAAGCCAAATCTGTGCGGATTTAGCGCAAATACGCAACTCGTGATCCTCATGATATATTAAATACAGCGTATTACGCAGAATCTGCTCATTTCTGGCTTACTTGAACACACACGTCACTACACAAGAAATAACGGCGCGCTTGTTCACTTGCATTGAAGTAATAGTGAATATTAAAAAGCATTTGGTGAACAGAAGAGACATTGTTATTTTCCAACATCCTACATGTTCTGTGTGCTGTACTGATCTGTCCACCTAAAACACATTTTTGGTTAAAAAAAATAAAAGGCCGTTAAAATCTATTCCTTATTTTCATTTTCGAAACTTGTGTTGGTTGGTCAGTCTTCAGTGTCACATGATCCTACAGAAATGTTTAGGGTTAAGTGTGTGTGTTTTGTTCAGACCGTGAGAAGACACGCTGCGAGCTGCATAAGGAGAGCATTCTGGGCGCTGGGTTTGAGCCTCGTGGTCCTCGTCCGATGTCCGGTCAGTATGTGCCGACCTGTGATGCCCAGGGCGCATACGACGCCATGCAGTGTCACGATAGCATTAGGCAGTGCTGGTGTGTGGATCGTGATGGAGAGGAGATCTCTGGCACTCGCATGGGACCCGGAAGCTTTCCTGAGTGTGAGTCCTCCACATGTTTACGCATAGGCCCTGTTTACACCTGGTATTCACCCAAAAATGAAAATGATGTCATTAATGACTCTCCCTCATGTCGCTCCAAGCCCGTCAGACCTCCGTTCATCTTCGGGACACAGTTTAAGATATTTTAGATTTAGTCCGAGAGCTTTCTGTCCCTCCATTGTAAATGTGTGTACGGTATACTGTCCTTGTCCAGAAAGGAGATAAAGACATCATCAAAGTAGTCCATGTGACATCAGTGGGTTAGTTAGAGTGTGTTGAAGCATCGAAAATACATTTTGCTCCAAAAATAACAAAAACTAGGCCTTTATTCAGCATTGTATTGTCTTCCGGTTCTGTTGTGGTTGAGGTAGAGGTTGTAAGCCTTCAAATGATATATAGTTTGTCAAGATTAGTTTAGGTTTAGTATAGGATATTACTGTTTTAAATATGTAAAGGCTGTGGGCCCGACGGTGACACTTAAGATGCATTTTGGTCGATCGGATCTCAAGTGGACGACGGTATATACAGGTGTAAAACATTTTGAGCTTTTCCACTTTCAACCATTTCCAGAGGTAGTTGGAAACCGGATTGCTTTCGGAGTGTAAACGCTCATGTGATCGAATGTGTTCAAACGGACACAAAAGACGCTTGCTCTCTGAATACTGACCTAATGCGTACATTATGGGAAGCGCTCTAGCCAGACGGGATTTAAAGTTTGTCGGCTGGAGACCCAAGATTGGTTTGAAGAGGAAAAACATGCCAAGCTCAATGTTCTTCTCTCACCATTGCTGATTTCTAACACACACTCATAGTGTTCGGCTGGTCACCAGAGCTGCTGCTCTCCGTATGTTTTCCTGCTTTCTCTGGTCGTGTTCATATGTAAATTGCACAAGCTTATTTTTTCCATTAGATCAAAAGATGTGAAAAAGCCCATACATTTACTCGCCCATAGACCCTCCCTCGAAGAAATCAGGACAGAAGTGTTTAAAAGTGGAGAAAAGGGCTTCCGGTTCCGGCGACTGAGTGAATGGCAGCATAGTTCATCGTCTCCTCCGACGATTTAATTAAAACTCCACTAAATCTTGAGAAAAATAAAAAATCTTTTAAAGCAGTATATAATAGTGGGACAACAATGGAAACAAGAGAGAAAAGCAGGAAAACTAACACAGAGGTCCTAGAAACCGAAGGTAGACAGCAAGAAGGCGCCGGCGGCGCGGCACATGCGTTAGCACAAAAGCAAGATGCTAATCGCCAGCAAACTCACCAGGATAACATGCAAATCAATCTGGAACGAATTTTGGAGGAGATTCAAAACTTTCGCAAAGAGAATAATCGTCAGCTGGATGAAATCAAGATCGAATTAAACAAGACAAATCAAAGAATCGGCCACGCAGAAGATCGCATTGAAGAAATTGAAACGCGAGTGCTAAACGTGGAAGAGACGATGCAAAAAATGATTAAAATGCAGTCGCATCTGGAAAGTAAGCAAATTGACCAAGAAGGTAGATCGAGAAGAGACAATATAAGGATATACAACGTGCCAGAGGACGCAGAGAGAAATCCCATGACTGACTACGTCGAACAACTTCTGCGAGACACTTTGGATTTTCCTCCGGAGACAGAACTGCATGTGGAAAGAGCACACCGGGCACTTGCACCCAAACCTGGAGTGAACGCGAGACCCAGGTCGATTGTAGTAAAATTCCTGAGGTACAAAATGAAAGAAGAAGTGATCCGGAAGGCATGGATGAAAAAGGATATTTTTGTGGGTCAACAAAAAATCTACTTCGATCATGATTATCCTCCTGCGGTTCTACAGAAAAGGAAGGAATACACGGAAGTGAAAAAAGTACTGAAAGAAAAGAAGATTCGATTTCAGACCCCTTATCCGGCAAGACTACGTGTGTTCTATGAGGATGGGACCCACATCTACCACACAGCTGAAGAAGCGTATCTGGATATGGAGAAAAGAGGATTCAACGTGGAAAAAACATCGCTGACTGAATCACTCATTGAACAACTCGAGCGCACGTCTTGGGAGACTGTTTCACAACGAAAGACGAGAGGTAAAAAGGCTCCGAGATCGACAGACATCAGGGAACGTCTACAGGCATATAGAAGATAATGTGAGACTGCATATGCCCTCTACAATTAAAAATGAATGAAGAAAAAATATTGGACATGTTTTTGGACCTTAAATCGGATAGACTTTGATTTAATTTCTCTCTTCGTATTATGGAATGACAGCACGTCGGACACGAGAGATATGTTCTCTTCTATCTCATGTAAAGACGGTGAACTGGAGGGCCCCGATCACCACTGTGGAAGAGAAGGTTCCCCCTCCATGCTAGACGCCACTACCAACCTGTTACAGGGTCATTTGTTCGAGACCCCTATCTTGGAAGCACCTTATGTTTGTCAGGTTTTTAATATTCTCTTTACTTGTTCGTTTATTGGTTTTCCAGGGAATGTGCCTCTATCATCCTTTAGATTTCAATGTTTTATTGAACTGATATGACAAATAACGAAGTAAAAGTAATTTCTTTCAATGTGAATGGTTTGCTTAACCCAATCAAAAGAAAAAAAATCTTAAGCAAAATGAAAAAAGAAAATGCTCATATTGTATATCTACAAGAGACACATCTGAGTAACATTGAGCATGAGAAATTGAAAAGAATGGGATTCACTCAGATCTATTACTCATCGTATCATACAGGGCATAGGAGAGGAGTTATTATTTTGATATCCCACAAGGTTATTTTTGAAAAGAAGTATGAGTATGCTGATAAAGAGGGTCGATTTATTTTTATTCATGGAATTATGAATGGAACATATGTTACTTTATTTAACATTTATGCCCCACCTGGTAGTAATGTTACCTTTTTTCAAAAAGTATTTCAGATTATGTCCTCTGAAACACAAGGTATATTGATTTGTGGTGGCGATTTAAATGTACATTTACAGCCTGAGTTTGACTCCTCAAACAAAAAAACGACGTTTTCTAAACCCATTCTTCGGAAAATTAACACATTGATGAATGATATTGGCATAATTGATGTATGGAGAGACCTATATCCAAATACTAAGGATTATACACATTTTTCCCCCCCACATAATGTCTACACCAGGATAGATTATTACCTTATGTTTAATAGAGATAGGACCAGGGTGACAAGCTGCGATATTGGAACGATAGATATCAGTGATCATGCCCCAATCTACTTAACAGTAAAACTAGACAATAAATCTAAGGATACTTTGTGGAAATTTAATTTGAATCTTCTTAATGACCCCTCTTTTAAAATGCATATTAAAAATGAAATTCATTCTTATTTAGAAACTAATGATAATGAAGAGGTCACCCCCCCCATATTGTGGGATGCTGCAAAAGCAGTACTAAGAGGTAAAGTTATAGCACTAGCCTCACTTAAAAAGAAAATTCGACAACAGGAGTTAAAAAAATTACAACATCAATTACATTTATTAGAAAAAGAACATAAGGACAAGCAAATCCCCAAAATACTAGAACAAATGAAAAAAATAAGAAACGAAATTAATATGCTGTATACTCAAGAAATAGAGAGAAAAATGATGTTTTCTAGGCAAAAATATTACGAAAATGGATCTAAATTTATGAAAATATTAGCATGGAAATTAAGAAAACAACAAGCAGATCAAACAATATATAAAGTCAGGGATCCTATTACCAATACAATACAAACCAAACAAGAGAACATTCAAGATGTTTTTGAAAGGTTTTATAAAAAATTATATTCTAAAATGCCCGAAGATAGACCCCAGGAGATTAATAGTTTTTTAGATGCATTAAAGTTACCTACCCTTACTGATGAGCAAAATAAAACACTGATAGCAGAAATAACCACAAATGAAGTAAAAGGGGCTATTACTAGACTAAAATCTAATAAATCCCCAGGACCGGATGGATATACTGGGGAGTGGTATAGAGCATTCCAAAAGGAATTAATACCTATCTTGGTTCGTACTTTTAATTGGGTTTTAAAGAATGCGATAACTCCCCCATCTTGGAAGGATGCAGTTATATCTATTATTCCAAAAGAAGGCAAAGACAAGTTAGAATGTGGATCGTATAGACCTTTATCGATATTAAATGTCGATTATAGACTGTTCACATCAATTATGGCCAGAAGAATGGAAGAATTCCTGCCCAACCTAATAAATCAAGATCAATCAGGTTTTATCCGTCAGCGCCAGACACAGGACAATATTAGGCGCACATTGCAAGTTATGAATCATATCAGGAAAAATAAATTAAAGTCTATGATACTAAGTTTAGATGCTGAAAAAGCCTTTGATTCTGTTAGCTGGACTTATCTTTATAAGGTTCTCCGCAAATTTGGCTTTCATGAAGTTATAATTAGAAGTATACAGGCACTTTATGATACACCAACTGCAAAGATAAAGATTAATGGTTATTTATCAAAGTCATTTACATTGGAAAGAGGCACTAGGCAAGGATGCCCATGGTCCCCTCAATTATTTGCACTCTATTTGGAACCCTTAGTACAAAGCATCAGACAGGATAAAACAATCCAAGGCATCAGTATAAAAGGAGTGGAACATAAAATAGCCTGCTATGCAGATGATATACTGATTTATCTCGGAAACCCAACCAAGTCTTTACCTCAACTCATGAAACAATTTCAGAATTCTGGCCCTCTCTCTGGATATAAACTAAATATTGATAAAACAGAAATAATTTCATATAATTATAATCCCCCTATAAATATTAAAAATACATATTTGTTAAAATGGCATACAAAATCATTTAAATATTTAGGTATCCATTTGACGAAAAACATAGAAAAATTGCAAAGAAAGAATTTTGATCCACTAACTGTAAGAATCAGAGAAGATTTAGCCAAATGGAATTTAATTCCCTTTTTTAGTTTTAGCTCAAGGATTGAAGCAATTAAAATGAACGTATTACCTAAATATCTTTACCTATTCCAATGTCTACCTGTAGAAATTACCGGAAAACAATTCACAGAATGGGATAAAATGCTTTCACGTTTTATTTGGCAAGGGAAAAAGCCCAGAGTACGTTTTAAAACATTGCAGCTCCCAAAGGATAAAGGAGGGTGGGCTCTTCCCTCATTAAAAGATTACTATACAGCAGTTCAAATTAGGACTGTGGTATATTGGTGTGACCCACATTATAATGCTCCTTGGAAGGATATGGAAAGTTATACTACAAAGAGTATTCCTGTACAAACAATATTAGCAGATAATAATTTACGACAATATATAGATAAGCTAGAAGACCCATGGACACAGCTTACTTTAAATGTTTGGGCAACTGTGATAAAAGAATTTAATTTGTTTGAATACACTTCCATTTTTAAATGGATTGCTTATGACTCAGACTTCACTCCAAATCAGTCTGATAACAGGTTTAAATTGTGGACAAATAAGGGAATAACCTCCTTTTGCACAATCATTGAGAAAGGTGAAATTTTAAGCTTTCAAGTATTAAAGGAAAGGTTTTTACTAGAAAATCAAGATTTTTATAGGTACCTTCAGGTTCGAAGTTATTATGATAAAAAAATAAAAGGAAAAATCAAAGACAATTTGAATCCGCTAATAGACTTGCTTAAGAAGACATACACATCAGGTATTAGATATAAGATAGTCTCTCAGATATACAAGAGTTTAATAAATATGAAAAAACACTCTACAAGTTACATCAAAGCGAAATGGTTGACAGAAAGTGGAATAATTTTTACTGATGAAGAGTGGTCAACTGTATGGAAATTTCAGTGGAAATCAACTAGGTCACTAAATTGGAAGGAGTACTGTTGGAAAAACATTGTTAGATATTTTATAACACCAATACAAACGGCCAAATACAGTAATAACACCCCAAAATGTTGGCGAAACTGTGGATGTAATGAGGCAAACCATTACCATATATTTTGGGAATGTCTACATATTCAAGAATACTGGAAAGAAATACAGGATGCTCTTCAAGATAATTTTAGAGGAGACATACCTCTAGAATGCAAATTACTGTATTTTGGCTATGTATGTCCAGATATAATAGCAGCAGATAATAAATACCTGATGGGTGTGCTTTTGGCAGCCAGTAAGAAGGCAATCACACGCAAATGGTTAAAACAAGAGAGACCAACATTAGATGACTGGATTGATGTGACCATTGAGATTTATATGATGGAAAAGATAACGTTTATTGTTAATTTGAAGAAAGTTTTTTTTCTGGAAAAATGGAGGAAATGGGTTGAATATGTATCAGAAAGAAGGTCAGATTTTGTTGCTATACTTAAATAGATGAAGATTAATATATAATGTATATATTAATAATATATGTTTGCATGTGTAAGTAATAACAATTCTCACTATTTATTTGAGATTATAATAAGTCGTAATCTGAGGTTGTTAAGGATGGAATTTAACTAAGAGGAATTGTTCTCTCCCTGGATGTATATAGTTACCCTTTTACTTTTACTTTTTTTTGTTTTTTGTTGTTGTTGTTAAAAAAAAAAAAAAAAAAGTTATACTTTGAAACAATTGAACTAACCTGGAGTACAATTTATATTTAAAACATTGGGTAATTGTACATACCTATATTTGTAAATACACTGTGATCGCATTGAGCATTGTATGTAACTTGAAATATACTGTATGATTGTACTCAAATGAATAATCAAAATAAACACAAAATAACACAAAAAAAAAAAAGTGGAGAAAAGAGGCGGATTAAAACACCAGGTGTAAACGGGAGTGTGTCTCCCTCGTCCACTTGTGATCCGATCGACCAAAACACATTTTAATACCAGCTGTAAACAGGGCTTTAATTCATGTATCCTAGTAGACCCCAAAATATGGACACTTTAAAATATATATATTTCATAATTCAAAAACTTGGAAGTGTGTGAAAGTCCCTTGGTTGAGAACCACTGGGAAAATACCTACATAAGCAGCTCTTTAGGTTTTTGGTACAAAGCTAATGTTTTTATTGCCACATTTTCTGACCATTTTCTGTACATATAGCTAGTGAATTCCCATAGTCATTTTATATTGATCTTCGGTTCCTCAGGTCCTGGTGATGAATTTCCCGGCCCGATTAGACCAACTCCCAACCCAGACGTTAGTCCTTTGCCTCCCGGCAGTCACATCCTCTTCACCCAGAGCGGGAAGATTGAGTACGTTCCTCTGGAAGGTCATGACCTGAAGAAGAATGAAGCCAAGACTGCGCTGCACCTCCCGGTAAAGCTTTAACCCAGCGTGTCTGTTAGTGTAATGTGGAAGACGAGAGTTATGAGAGAATCAAAGCTTTTAGAAACTTTGAATCAATTGCTTTGCAAAACGATTCACTGTTTCAAAAGCCAAGTGACGCCTGCTGGTCAGAACGGTGTAAAAACATGCATAAAAACAACTTTTGCAAGTTGAAAGTGTAATCTATCATAATAAATGTAATCAACAAATGTGTTATTTTATTAATTTGTGGAGATTGCTTTGATTGTTTCATGGAAAGATTGGTTAATCAGGCCAATAATTTCTATTTTATTATACAAATGTCAATACAAATCTACATATTTATAAAATCAGGTAACCATATAGACACTGGTTCATGGGCTCACAGAGATCATTGCAAAACATTTCGAAACAGTTATGACGTAATGAAGCCTTGTTTACTGTAGTCATGTGACTTTGGCAGTGTGATACGATACGCACTCCAAATCCCTGGTTTAAAACAAACGATTCGCCAGGGTTTCAGAGCTTCACAAATCAGTGCCTGTTTCTAAAATCGCCCCCTATACCGTCATTCACTATTCCCTGCATTAGTCCAATAATATTGTTCACTTGAGGGAGTGAGTGAGAACGAATGAGAACGAATTCGGACACTGAGTGCCGCTTTTGCATAGTTTGTTGTGTTGCTGTTTAATAATCATTTGAAACTTTGCAAACTGGCAGCTCCAGTAGTAATGAAAAGATTTATCTTGAAATCTGTCATGGAAACTATTGATATACTTTAACCTGTTAAGTGTCACGCCCCTTTTTTTGAATAGACATGAAAATGCACATTTTGAACTTAAATGGTTGTAATTCAAGAATGCTTTTGAATATAGACGCAAGATTGGTCTCGTTTTAAAGAAGACATTTGGCAGGTTTTTGGAGAAGTGAAATAAATTAAAAATGTGAAACAAAAAAAAGTTATAGAAGTTTGAGTTTATGTACAATGTAGAAAATGTAATTATTCATATTTTATATAAAATATTTATTTTCAAAACCTGGGCGACTCTAAAACTGCAAAAAAAAATCAAAGCCAAAAATCTGAACAAGTTGTGTTTCAAATTTTAGGTTGATATCTCAAAAAATGAGCTTTCAGTGAGAGTGTGTTTGGGCGCAGTACCGAACGCTTCCACTAGGGCACAGCCAGACTCCATCACTGCCCATATAAGGGCGCCTCCATTTCCATATGTGTTTTGAGTGATATGAACCATTATTTCCACAATTTTCATACAATTTATGAAGTAGACATCCTATTCAGAAGTAGTATGAGAAGTTTGGCAGATTTTGATATGAATTCAACCTCTAAGAAACACATAAAAATAACACGTATGTGCGTTATAGCTCGCTGCCACATCACAAATGGTGAATTTTTTTTTCTTTATATTTAAAAAAAAATTCAGAACTTTTTTTCTAAAATAATTGAATGGATGCTATCTTTTGAACTCTTGGCATGAAAACAAACTGAGGTTTCTACCCTTCTTTCATGATTTTTCATGTTCATCACTATTTCAAAATAAAGGTCTTAACACGCCTTAGGAGCATGAAAATATTCTTGTTGCAAATTGATAAATTAAGGCTCCTCTGTAATTTATTTTGAAAATCAATCACCAAATATGGAAACTATTGATTGTAAGCTTTCAAATGATATATAGTTTGTCAAGATTAGTTTAGGTTTAGTATAGGATATTACTGTTTTAAAAATGTAATGGATTTTGGGCCCACCGGTGGGCCGGTGACACTTAAGATGAACAATTCAATAATCAATTTTGAAAGGAATTTATACCTGTATGATATTACGCTGTACACACATTGGACCAGGTTTGGTAAATGAATGGATGGATGATTCGCCATCTTCTGGTCAGACACGAGAATTAATTCACAGTGCATTATGGGTATTCTCAAGCCGTTGAGCATACATCGGTTGTACGCACGTTATTGTGGTGCATTGTGGGATTGAATGAGTGCACTCGATAGCGTCCACCATGTTTTGGACACCACTACAAATGGCTGTATCATCAAATAGTGCCTTATACGGTTATAGTGGGCGGTTTCGGACACAGCCAGTGTTTCCAAAGCGCCTATTACTAGTTTACACTAATGCCTTAGAGTGCAACAAGTACTTGTGTTGGTCATGAAATGCGGTTTAGTACATTTTGAAATGAGTTGGATCCACGAAAACGACTAAAAATTTTGTATAAAATATTTATTTTCAAAACATGTTGGACTCTAAAACTGAAAAAATAAAAATAAAATAATAATAATCAAAGCCAAAAATCTGAACAAGTTGTGTTTCAAATTTTAGGTTGATATCTCAAAAAATGAGCTTTCAGTAAGAGTGTGTTTGGGCGCAGTACCGAACGCTTCCACTAGGACAACCAGACTCCATCACTGCCCATATAAGGGCGCCTCCATTTCCATATGTGTTTTGAGTAATCTGAACTAGAGTCCTGCGCGGGACTGTTTTCTTCATCCCGCTCCCGCCCGCGCCCGCCGAATTTTTGACCATTACCGCCCGCTCCCGCAACGTATGTGTTACACTCCCGCCCGCTCCCGCAATATGTATGTCCACTCCCGCCCGCACCCGCAAAACTCGGATAATTTATTCCCGCACAATAATAGAGATGCACTGACTTTGTGTCTTCTCCCGTCCCGCAGGAAAAAAACGCGTATTTGTATTGCTATTGTTAAAGAGATTCATGGGGTTGTTGGTTTCGTTTCCCTGGCCTGCATGTATTCTGACGCACTGATCAGGAAGATGAATTAGTAAATGTCAGACTTGCCTTGCTCAGGTTTTGTACTGTAAATACCTCGTTTAAGGTTCTTTTCCACATCATTGACATCTCCATCATGTCGTTAGGCTACCTCCCAATCCCGCAGGGGTTTTATTTGTCCGCCCATTCCCGCCCGCAGCAAAGTTCAAACCGCCCGCTCCCGCGAGATTTGCGTTGGGTCCCGCGGGACCCGGCGGGACTCAATCCCAATGCAGCCCTCTAATCTGAACCATTATTTCCACAATTATCATACAATTTATGAAGTAGACATCCTATTCAGAAGTAGTATTGGAAGTTTGGCAGATTTTGACCTCTAAGAAACATAAAAAGAACACGCGTGTGCGTTATAGCTCGCTGCCACATCACAGATGGTGAATCTATTATTTTATGGTCTATTTTATGATCTTTGCGATGGAAGTGAATCAACTTTAGCTGGACAATAACTTTACTCTAGAGCTGCTGTAAAGCCAAAACAAGCTCTGTTACTTTAATTTCCTATTATCACTGTAAAGCTGCTGTGAAACAATCTATATAGTTAAAAGCGCTGTATAAATGAAGGTGACTTGACTATGTAGAAGTGCTTGTGTGGAGTATGTTTAGCACATCATTCAGAAAACTGTTTTGCTCTGTATATTCATCCAGAAGTCTTTGCCCTGATTCATTCCCTGCTGCTTTGAGGCTCTGGTATGCATTAGTGCAAAGCCTGTTTAGGGATGTTAGCAACTTAAGAGTGAACGTGTCACTGTGGTTTGTGTTCTGCTCGTAGTTTGTCTCTCTCGCCTGAATTGTTGATAACACGGAGCCAGAGAACTGCTGGGGGATTTTTAGAATTGCTTAACTCTGTTTTTCTTGGAAATGTTCGTATGAGAGACATTTTGTTTATCGGAGCCATATGCTGCCTCTGCTGATTACATAACCTCCATCGGCATTTAGCCGTATGAATGTGAGGAGAGATTCCAGGAGAAACAGACCAGACCATTTACAAAAGAAAATGATGTTAGCATGCATGTTTTCTGCAGACGCCATGGACTGAACTGGTATTTAGTAAGTGTAAAAATGTACATTACAGTTCAAAAGAGTGAGATTTTTAAAAATTATTTTGCAAATGCAGTAAAATCAATAATATGGCGAAATATTATTACCGTTTCAAATAGCTGTTTTCTATGTGAATATACAGTAAAGTGTAATTTATTCCTGTGATCAAAGCTGAATTTCCAGCATCATTACTCCAGTCTTCAGTGTCACATGATCCTTCAGAAATCACTCTAATATGATGATCTGATGATTATTATCATAATCATAAATGTGTTGAAAACAGTTGTGTTGCTTCATATTTGTGTGGAAACCGTCATACATTTTATTTTTCAGGATTCTTTGATGAATAGAAAGTTAAAAAGAACAGCATTTATTTGAAATAAAAATATTCTGTAGCATGTAACACTGGTAAATACATGTAATCTGTAACACTTTTCTATCAATTCAATGCTTCCTAGCTGAATAAAAGGAATCATTTCTTTCCCCCAAAAAATCTTTTTTAAATGGTAATGTATTATTAAAGTATAGATATTAGTATAAACAAATTGAGAAATCGACCTGTGCTGATGCTATTATATATTCAATTTTCCTGCTTGTTTTTTAGAACTGTATATATGTGTTAAAAACAGTGCACGTTCTCACATAATCTATTTTTTAATCTATTAATTCATAATTATGCACATCGCTTGCTTTTTTGCATGTTTACTGTATATCTATGCTAGTGTGCTGTATCTTTCAGCTCTAATAGTGAAGAATGGCAGAATAAGTCCCGCCTTCTAAATAAAAGAGCCAATCGCTGAGTGTTAAAGTCATCGCATCACTGCAGCTGGTGTTAGAAGCTCACATTGGCTTGTCCAGCCTAAAAAATAAGCTTTTTAACACTATTTGAGCATAAGAAACAACATTTATGGGACTGGTCATGTCAGATTTTGTTGCTGATTTGAAATATGTTATTTAATTGTGAGTTTGGCAAGCTGTTTTTGAGATTTCAGGATTCCCCCATTCAAATAAATAGGACTTGGTCATGAATGAAACAGACTTTCCATGAAATGGACTTTGATATACAGTACATTATAAGAAATGTCAGCACTCGTGGACAGTGCTTCAAACTGTTCAAACAGTTGTGTAAACATGCACAGTCTTCATAAATATTATGGTTTTTCACTATCCCTGGTTATTTTGCCAATTGATTTTGTTTAGCTAGACATTTGGCTCACGCACAAGGTTTGTATTTTCATCTCTTGACTCCTGAAAATGAATTTTTATGGGTTGTTGTGTGCAGCACTGTAGGAAATCATAAATCTGAATGAATCTTCATTCCCATCTGCTCTCATTTATTGCTCACATGTTAACATTTACTGTAACGACTAACATCAGTGAAGCTTATTAAACAAGGGGAAATTCAACCCAGCGTTAAAAACAATCATTTGACTCATGTTTTGTCTAGACAGCAGTTCGCAGACTGAATGCCCGAGGAAAACTAGTGCCGTGTTGTCATCTTAAACACTTCCATGCATGTTTGTGAGATCTTTTTCTTGTTTTTGCAGGAGAAAGTGGTGATTGCGATTGCTTACGACTGCTTGGAGAAGATGGTGTATTGGACAGACATCAGCACACCTGCTATCAGCAAAGCTAATCTACAAGGAGGAGAGCCCGTCCATCTCATTAAATCAGGTAGAGTTCAATAAGACTCGTCCTAATGTCTTCCAAACCTGTGTGATTCATTTTTTTATTAGTTACTGAGCAGTACACTAGGAATTTGTTTCCGCTTTGTTTTTATTCCGAAATTTGTTTTTATCTCACAATTCTGATATTTATGTGGCAAGTTTATATATTTAAATATTTTTCTTGCAATAGCGAGTTTGTGTCTAGCAAATAAACTCGCAATTGCAAGTTATAATGTCCAAATTGCAGGATATAAACTTATTATATATATTTATATATATATATATATATATATATATATATATAAAATCTTATTTTTACTTTGTTTGATCATTGTTAAAAAAAAAGAACAAAAATTTACATTACAAAAACATAGGACAAATGCAATATAAGGAAGATACAAAATGAAATAAACTTTTGAATGTTCTCTGAACATCCATAATGATAAAACTTTCATATTTCTGTTTGCTGGCATTGAACTGCAACTGATATAATGTGCACTGTTACACAATACGAACCATCTCTCTATAAAGGCAGATCGTGGAGACATTTTAATCATTCCCATCATCTAGTATGGTCATATCGCACACCACTGTCTCTTGTTTCAGATCTTGGCAGTCCTGAGGGCATCGCTATCGACCATCTGGGCAGAAACATGTTCTGGACAGACTCCATGAAGGACAGAATTGAAGTTTCCTCATTAGACGGATCCCAGAGGCGTGTCTTGGTTAACACAGACCTGGTTAACCCGAGAGCTATCCTCACCGACCCCACCAATGGGTGTGTTGCATAAATTGCTTAGAGTAGTCTTACAAGTTTTTTATTTTATACTGGTCAACTGGGGATAAAAACTTAGATTGTTCTAAGTAAGATTACTTATTAAGCCACAGGGTCTAAAATTAACTCTTCAAACGTTCAAGTAAAGAAAATTTTACTTTCCTCCCGGATAGAAATGCAACGTAATACATGGTTAAATCAAATTGTAAAAAGGATAATCTAAGCCTTGTAAGAGATTTAATAATGTTTAATAATAATGGCTTTTTTACTGATCTATGCCTGCTCAAAAATTCTGTGTAAAGACATCATGCTGCATAAAAGCAAGATCAAATTATTACCCACTTCTGTCCCTAGTATCAAAGTATCCAGTGGAAATTGTTGTGTAAATGCCACTTTATTAAACAGCCTATGTAAAGACAGCTAAATGCCAGCTCTGAAGCGCTTGTGTGCCACATTTGGCATAATAATACTATTTTATTAAAAATAATTATAAAATAGGTTTTCATAGTTGAAAAATATTTATGGCAGGTGAATTTACACATTTCACCTATGCTAGTTTTGTCAGTTTTACAATAAGCTTTCATTTGTTAAAATGAGTAAACTACATTATTTAACATGAACTAACAATGAAAAATACCTCTAAAGCATGTATTAATCTTAGTTAATGTTAATTTCAAGATTTAATAGACCTGAGCTAACAGGAATGAACTAACAGTCATCAACATTGACAATGATTAATAAATAGTGTATTGCTCATTGCTAGTTAATGTTAGTTAATGCATGAACTATCAGGGCTTTATTGTAAAGTGTCACCGTTTTGTTTATATACTTATTCTTGGCATTATGATTTTGAGTGATTCCCAAAGTACCACTAATTTCTGCAGTGAAATAGTTGTTGGGAAGTGTTTTCAATGTCTGTTTCTCCATCAGCTACATCTACTGGGCCGACTGGAACAGGGACTCCCCTAAAATTGAGATGGCTTACATGGACGGCACAAATCGGAGGGTCCTGGTCAAGGATGACTTGAGCCTCCCCAACGGTTTAACTCACGACCCTCGGACGTCTCTGCTGTGCTGGGCGGACGCCGGTACGGCTCCAGTTCAGAGAAACATTAGGGGCTTTCACACCGGAGGAACCTCTTCATAGTTCCTAGAACTATTTGTGGACGTTCCCGGTTTTTGGCGCGTTCACACCACAGAAAAGGCCCTTGCACACTGAGTCCGAAATGTTCGTATTCGTGATTCGTTGGCTCTGAATTGTCAAAACGTCACTCAAACACCATTGAAACTGCTTGCTACTAGGGATGGGCATTTTTAAAAAATATTGCATTCGAATATTCGGGCTCATAAAAATAGAATATTCGTTTATTTAAATGAGGTTTAACGAAATTTTTTATTTTTTACGTTTAAGTTTTTTTTACGTTTTTGTCACCATTTCTGAACAGGCTTATGATTAGGCAATATACACAGCAAGCTTAAAATATATCTTAAGGTTTTCTTTTAGTTGAAAACATTAAACAATATGAGTAAACAACAGATATAAAGAACAAAAGCATTTAAGCTCAAGCAGGCTAACGGAGAAAAACAACGCTAATAAAGCAGGTCACGCCAGTTATCGTACAGTATCGTTTCTGTTCTTAAACCTGTCTCCCTCAACGAAATTTAAAGGAAACATATGTCTCAAAATCATTTAGCTATAAGATAAGTTATCTCGGATATACAGCTGCGCTTTACCTGCAGTCGTGATGCAGTGATGGACAGCTGTCTTTCCTCAGTCGACTGGTGTTTAGATTTCATGTGATGATAACTCAGATTCATTCATTCATTTGATCAAAAGTAATTCCATTTAGTAAGATCATTTTCATCTGAGTGGCCTAATTCCAAACTTCGCGAGGCAGACGACAACATTATGTGATCAAATACCAGTACAAACAACTTGTTAAACACGCTCCACAGCGCCACCCAGTGCATTCAATTATAATTGTGAGTTATGCCTGGTTCAGATTACACAATTTTAGCCCGATTTTGGCACGATCCGTTTGACGTAGGGTGTCGTGGGGATTCGCAAACGACAACGGGCGTCGGGACGCAAGATTCGATCGTATCATCTCGTATAGTGTGTCATAGTGGGCGACAACCTACGATGCTTCATGACATCATGACAAAAAGACTAGCATGTTTAATTTTTTTAACGGTCGTCCACGACGGGTTCCGTCACATGTATGAGGTTGACCAATAGGAGCACCGAAGCTTTTCCGTACACAACTTTCAAAAATGGCGAAACGAAAGAGAGACGATGGTGCTACTAGGTGGAGTTATGACATGGAGGAAAGGTTCGTGGAGCTGTGGTAACAGTAACAGAAAACAATATCCCCCTTTGGAGGATTGAAAGCCCATACTGTCCTCTTCAAGCAATCCAGGAACGTGTCCATTGTCGGGTTTTCTTTCTTTTTTTACGTTTTTCTGAACACAGGACAGCCAACACTCACCGCTTCATCCATTGTTTGTTTACGTTCGTTTCCGGAAGTCACTCGCTACTAGTTTCGCCTTCTCGATGACGGCACGCGATGACTGGCCAGGAAGCAACGGGTAGTCTGACATGTTTCTTGTCCACGACACGACAAGATTTTATGAGTCAAAATCGCGTAATCTGACACAGTGACTATCGTAACAGACAAAACAAAATCGTGCGATCTGAACCAGGCATTAGTGTTTGGATTTATCATGGATTCACTACATTTACGGCCAGCAAAACAACTTAGTAAAATTCAAATAGCATTTTATTTTTCTAATAATAATTACAGATCGAATCGTCGAAAATTCGAATATTCGTGCACATCCCTACTTGCTACGGATGCGAAAAACGCAGAAAATCGAACCCGATTCGATTTTTTTTATGACGGACGAAAGTTTCGGAGGCAGTGTGCAAGCGTGATTGACGTAATAACGTGAGGTCGTATTTCTTTTTTAAAGTGCAAAAAATTTCGGACGCGAATTTCGGACTCAGTGTGCAAGGGCCTAGGAACGATTTTAGTTCTAGCAACTCTTTTGGAGGAACATATTTAGCTCCTACTTCAGAGTCGGTCTAAACTTAACCAGCACTATAGGGCCCTGTCCCAAATGGCACACTCCGGACTTGTTGACTTCCTCAGAGTCCACACTTCAGTGACGTCATGTAGTGCAGACCTATAGGGCCCTTAGCGCGAGTCCGCGAGGGCGCATTGAGAGGTATTTTTGGGACAGACTCGATCGTCACGCCGGAAACAGGAAGACGGTCTGGTTGTTGTTATGGACAGGAGCTACAGGTTCGGGGAAATATGCGGCCTATTGTTGTTGTGTTTACATATGACTCAGTAAAGCCCTGACATTCTGTTCTATTTATTTAATGAATCATAATGGGATCGTATTATTCAGCTCGCTATTATTAGCCTATGTTTGAGACATGTCGATGATCATAATGTTTGTATAAAAACCGTAGTGATAATTACACTTAAATATTTTCTTCTCAGCCATGTTAACAATTGTCCGTGAGCGAAATCTCCTCCCATCCGTTGTCTGATTGGCCTTTCGCAAGGATTCCTGGGTAGTTAAAGTGCGTGGAGCCTGCATCTATGCGGACAGCTTCGCGGAAGACCGCTTCAAGGGTACACAGGGGGCGCTGCTGAGCACACTTCAGAGCGTTAAAATGCTAAGTGGGACGGCCTACGGACTCGTAGACTGGGCGAGCACGCGCAATTTAAGTCCAGGAGACCGAAAGTCCGCATGAAGTGCGCCATTTGGGACAGGGCCTAGGACGCGAAACACCATCACCCGCCATTTTTAAAAAGGCTGTGTAAACACACCGATTATAGCCTATATATTTACTCCAGAAACTAACTCTACGAACATGTAAAACAGTGATAGATGAGCCTCTTAACCTTTATGCTGAGGAGAAAACCCAACGCAACTTTAAGGGGACCAAGCTAAACATGATTATGTATTTCTGCTCAGCAACACTGGACATCAACCACACGGCATACGCTAATAACTTTTCATTACTGTCTACTTTCTATGCATAACAGATCTATCTAATAACGTAATAAAAGCGCGGCTTACGTCACTTCAGAGTTCCTACCGGCGGTGCGAATGCAACCAGAAAACGTTCCTAAGGGAACCATTAGTTCTCAGGGAACCACACTGGTGGTTAGTTCCTTTAACTATCCGGTGTGAAAGCCCCTATTCACTAGTGCAGTAAAGTCACAGCTGTTTGAGCCTCTCGGCAGGAACTTATTTTGATCACTTGTTTAGCTCCGTTGAAGCCACAAGCTCCATAAAATGTAGGGGTGTAATGATATCCTCATGTCACGATTCAATACATATCACGATACTGAACTCACGAGACCATAGTATTGCGATACTCCAAGACATTTGTTAAAAGGTTAACAAAAAATGCACTGTTGATTAAAATGCTAAATTTGGTTTTACATTTGTGTATGTAAATGAATAGACTTGGACTTGGTGCTGGACACCCAAAGCACAGGACAATAGAGACACCAGAATAACATAACAAATAAGAATATCGTGCAAAAGTTCATTTATTTCAGTAATTCAACTTTGAAACTAATATATTATATAGACTCATTACATGCAAAGTGAGATATTTTAAGCCTTTATTTGTTATAATTTTGATGATTATGGCTTACAGCTTATGAAAACCTTTTCACAATATTCTAATTTTGAATTTGGGGTTTTCATAAGCTGTAAGCCATAATCATCAAAATTATAACAAATAAAGGCTTGAAATATCTCACTTTGCATGCAATGAGTCTATATAATATATTAGTTTCACCTTTTGCATAAAATTCTAATTTTTCGAGTTTCACCTGTATATTTAAAATAATGTAGGCCACTTTTTAATGGTAACATCAGACATTTGGCATTATCAGGACCCACAAATATCCCCCCATTGCATTATTATACATTATATTCAACATTATATATAGTAGTTTAATGTAGTAAAACTTGAATTTTTTTTTTGGGTGAACTATCCACGATACATATTGTTAAATTTTTGTATTGCGATTATATTGTGACACGATATATTGTTACACCCCTAATAAAATGCTTTGCTTGGTTGAAACGTTTGTGTTGATGTTGATGTTTGGTGTTTTTGATGCAGGTACACATAAAGTGGAGTGCATGAACCCGCAGCAGGGCAGTCGGACGCAGCTTATGGAGGAAATCCAGTATCCCTTCGGATTGACTACTGATGGAAAGAACCTCTACTACACTGACTGGATGAGGTGAACCTTCCCTTTAACAGCTTTATGCTTTTGTGAGAAGTTAAAGTCCACCTGTAGTCAATCATTGTATCCCTTAAAACTCAATTTGATCACCAAAATGACATTTAAATGTTATTTCCTTGAAAAATTCATCAGGCCTTAAAATATCTTGAATGTAACTCGACACCCTTGCCTCATTTAGTAAACGTGGTTCTATGAATATGCAAATGAGCCCCGCCTCCACTCACTCACTCAGCTCAGAGATCCACTGGTTGACGATCACACGTTGATCTGATTGGTTACAAGGTCGTTTGTGACGTCAGAAACACCAGCGATTTCAAACAGTGTTTTTTTTAAACACATGATTTGTCTTAAAGCATATTAAAAACACCTTATAGACATAAACAACATTAAAAGCTTAATTTTCTTCAAGTAACTGAAATCAAGTGAAAGGTCGGTTAGATTTTTGTGAGTTTTTGAAAGAAGCCTTTTCTGCTGACCAAGACTCAAAAATACAGTAAAAACAGTAATGTTGTGAAATATTATCTCAATTTAAAGGTGAACTATGTAAGATTATTTGCTAAAATACATTCTCTAAACCCAGTTTATTGTTCATTGACTACTATCAGTATCCCATTCATAGGTTTATCTCACCCAAAAGTGTAAATATTGAACAAAATAATGTGAAAATCATCAGATTTGGTCTTGGTGTTGTTTGTTCGTGGTTCAGAGAGCAAGGTCAAGGTTCAGTCCACTAAACCTGTGAGCTCAACAGCTCTCTGTTCTTCTAAGGCCTTGATGTGTCTGTTCGCGAGCACAGATTTGGCGCTTTAACCCTGAGTGTGTTTGCTATGCTGAGGTCGGGTCAAGAGGCCTGTGTCAAGGCTAGTTGCAGCTGTGTGCAATTTCACGGCCCGTCCTGTGGCCTCTCTCTGATCTTGTTCATGATTGAGCTTATTATAGCAATCGAGAACAATGAGCAGAACAAAAATAACTCATCAGCATGCATTACAGCAGTGAGAATTTGGGAGGAAAATGTCTTTATCGCAGTCCAAATGTTGTCAGGTCCTGCTCCAATTAGTTGCATAAACTTAGGAATTTGTTTATGCATTATTATCAATGGACGGATGACAGTTTTGAGAAGAAAAATAAACTAATTTAGTTTAATTTAGTTGAAAGTCCCCCTGTGGTGAAAATCCAGCGTGTCTATGTGGTGTTTTAATATGCTTTAAGACAAACCATGTGTAAATTCACAAGTCAAGATTATTTTTTGAGTATTTTCTCCTTAAACTTACTAACGACTCGAGTTACTGCCAGAGGAGTAATCAGACTGATTTAATTTGATTTTAATGTTATTTAGTTTATTTTTGCATTATATTACCACAATTGTCTACAGTATAGTGCTATCCAATCATTGACTCATTTTACGATGATCAAACCAGTTATTTTTGATTAATCGTCTATGGAAATATTCCTTTATTGTAACAACTTCAATTTGATCAAATTATTGAGGATTGCACTGTAAAGTAAGTGCATGAAAAAATGCAAACAATATTGTTTTAAATGCATCAAAAGTTTTCCCTTAAACCTAAAATAGACTTTAGTTGTAATTAATATTTTATGTTTTTTTGTACTGTATCTTGCAATAAATAAGGTGATCAGACTCTGAATTATTGTGCATACACATACAGTATGGTTTTCCCGCTCCCCTTTAAATCACAAAATATGCCTTAGAAATTATGCAAATCAGTCTTAATAGTTCTTAATGCAAAATGCAATTGTAAGTTTTCCTCTTTTGATTTTATTTTCCGTGTATGGTTAGCAGAGTACAGTACAATACAGTAAAAATTATGAAATATTATTACAATTTAAAATTGCTGTTTTCTATGTGAATATACAGTAAAGTGTAATTTATTCCTGTGATCAAAGCTGAATTTTCAGCATCATTACTCCAGTCTTCAGTGTCACATGATCCTTCAGAAATCACTCTAATATGAGGATCTGATGCTGAAGAAACATTTATGGTTATTATCAGTGTTGAAAACAGTTGTGTTGCTTCAGAAACCGTGATGTACTACCATTCAAAAGTTTGGGGAAAGTAAAATACCCTTCATTATTCATATATATACTGTACATTCATATGTATTATAAGAATAAAGAGTTGTGTGTGTGTGTGTTTGTGTTGGATTAGGGGTGCTGTAGTCGTGGTGGATCGCTACTCTAGAAGAGAGGTCGATGAGTTCCAGCCCCAGAAACGAACACGTCTGTACGGGATTACCACGGCACACGCCACCTGCCCATCTGGTACGAGTCCTCTTCCTCATGTGTTTCACTTCTTAAAGGGTTAGTTCACCCAAAAATGAAAATGATGTCATTAATGACTCTCCCTCATGTCGCTCCAAGCCCGTAAGACCTCCGTTCATCTTCAGGACACAGTTTAAGATATTTTAGATTTATTCCGAGAGCTTTCTGTCCCTCCATTGTAAATGTGTGTACGGTATACTGTCCTTGTCCAGAAAGGAAATAAAGACATCATCAAAGTAGTCCATGTGACATCAGTGGGTTAGTTAGAGTGTGTTGAAGCATCGAAAATACATTTTGCTCCAAAAATAACAGAAACTAGGACTTTATTCAGCATTGTATTGTCTTCCGGTTCTGTTGTGGATCCGCGTTCAGTGCCGCCGCTGACGTAAGACGCTGCTGACGTGTGTGTGTGTGTGTGTGTGTGTGTGTATTCTGGTTCTGTTGTGGATCCGCGTTCAGTGCCGCTGCTGACGTAAGACGCTGCTGACGTGTGTCTGGTGTGTGTGTGTGTGTGTGTATTCTGGTTCTGTTGTGGATCCGCGTTCAGTGCCGCCGCTGACGTAAGACGCTGCTGATGTGTGTCTGGTGTGTGTGTGTGTGTGTGTGTGTGTGTATTCTGGTTCTGTTGTGGATCCGCGTTCAGTGCCGCCGCTGACGTAAGACGCTGCTGACGTGTGTCTGGTGTGTGTGTGTGTGTGTGTGTATTCTGGTTCTGTTGTGGATCCGCGTTCAGTGCCGCCGCTGACGTAAGACGCTGCTGACGTGTGTCTGGTGTGTGTGTGTGTGTGTGTGTGTGTGTGTGTGTGTGTGTGTATTCTGGTTCTGTTGTGGATCCGCGTTCAGTGCCGCTGCTGACGTGTGTCTGGTGTGTGTGTGTGTGTGTGTGTATTCTGGTTCTGTTGTGGATCCGCGTTCAGTGCCGCCGCTGACGTAAGACGCTGCTGACGTGTGTCTGGTGTGTGTGTGTGTGTGTGTGTGTGTGTATTCTGGTTCTGTTGTGGATCCGCGTTCAGTGCCGCTGCTGACGTGTGTCTGGTGTGTGTGTGTGTGTGTGTGTGTATTCTGGTTCTGTTGTGGATCCGCGTTCAGTGCCGCTGCTGACGTAAGACGCTGCTGACGTGTGTCTGGTGTGTGTGTGTGTGTGTGTGTGTGTGTATTCTGGTTCTGTTGTGGATCCGCGTTCAGTGCCGCCGCTGACGTAAGACGCCGCTGACGTGTGTCTGGTGTGTGTGTGTGTGTGTGTGTGTGTGTGTATTCTGGTTCTGTTGTGGATCCGCGTTCAGTGCCGCTGCTGACGTAAGACGCTGCTGACGTGTGTCTGGTGTGTGTGTGTGTGTGTGTGTGTATTCTGGTTCTGTTGTGGATCCGCGTTCAGTGCCGCCGCTGACGTAAGACGCTGCTGACGTGTGTCTGGTGTGTGTGTGTGTGTGTGTGTGTGTGTGTGTTCTGGTTCTGTTGTGGATCCGCGTTCAGTGCCGCTGCTGACGTAAGACGCTGCTGACGTGTGTCTGGTGTGTGTGTGTGTGTGTGTGTGTATTCTGGTTCTGTTGTGGATCCGCGTTCAGTGCCGCTGCTGACGTAAGACGCTGCTGACGTGTGTCTGGTGTGTGTGTGTTTGTGTGTGTGTGTGTGTGTCTGGTGTGTGTGTGTGTGTGTGTGTGTGTATTCTGGTTCTGTTGTGGATCCGCGTTCAGTGCCGCCGCTGACGTAAGACGCTGCTGACGTGTGTCTGGTGCGTCCTATAAAAAAACTATAAAATATCTTAAACTGTGTCCCGAAGATGAACGGAGGTCTTACGGGCTTGGAACGACATGAGGGAGAGTCATTAATGACATAATTTAAATTTTTGGGTGAACTAACCCTTTAAGAACCATAACTATAACCATAACAATATTAGCATCACACCAACAGACGATATCGTTAAATCTGTTTATTTACGCGCTGCATTTTGTCGTCTGTCTCTTTAAATGTTCGAGCTCTAAAAGCAGAATTAATTCTGATTGGCTGTCAATGTTTTTATCATTCATCAGCTGGAAAAAATTGTTCAGAAAAAGTGATTCCAATGATATAGTTTCTCTGTGCCATTATCGTAATATTTGTGGTGTGGATTCTGCTATTTTTTAAATACTTTTAACAATTAGAAGTCAAGTCACCTTTTTTTCTATAGCGCTTTATATAATGTGAATTGTTTCAAAGCAGCTTTACGGTGATAACAGGAAAATAATGCATTTTGTGTTTTTGAAGCTCTAAAAAACATCCATCCATCATAAAAGTAATCCATACAACTCACATTATTAAATTCAAAAAGTCTGAGCAGTGTAAATTGCTTACATTTTATTATTAAATTAAAAAAATCTGAGCAGTAAAAATAACTTACATTTTATTATTAAATTCAAAAAGTCTGAGCATTAAAAATAACTTAAATTTTATTATTAAATTCAAAAAGTCTGAGCTGTAAAAATAACTTCAATTTTATTATTAAATTAAAAAAGTCTGAGCAGTAAAAATAACTTAAATTTTATTATTAAATTTAAAAAGTCTGAGCAGTAAAAATAACTTAAATTTTATTATTAAATTCAAAAAGTCTGAGCAGTAAAAATAACTTAAATTTTATTATTAAATTCAAAAAGTCTGAGCATTAAAAATAACTTAAATTTTATTATTAAATTCAAAAAGTCTGAGCAGTAAAAATAACTTACATTTTATTATTAAATTTAAAAAGTCTGAGCAGTAAAAATAACTTACATTTTATTATTAAATTTAAAAAGTCTGAGCAGTAAAAATAACTTACATTTTATTATTAAATTAAAAAAGTCTGAGCAGTAAAAAAGCTTAAATTTTATTATTAAATTAAAAAAGTCTGAGCAGTAAAAATAACTTAAATTTTATTATTAAATTCAAAAAGTCTGAGCATTAAAAATAACTTAAATGTTATTATTAAATTCAAAAAGTCTGAGCAGTAAAAATAACTTAAATTTTATTATTAAAATAAAAAGTCTGAGCAGTAAAAATAACTTACATTTTATTATTAAATTCAAAAAGTCTGAGCATTAAAAATAACTTAAATTTTATTATTAAATTCAAAAAGTCTGAGCAGTAAAAATAACTTACATTTTATTATTAAATTCAAAAACTCTGAGCAGTAAAAATAACTCAAATTTTATTACTAAATTAAAAAAGTGAGCAGTAAAAATAGCTTAAATTTTATTACTAAGTTCAAAAAGTCTGAGCAGTAAAAATAACTTAAATTTTATTATTAAATTGAAAAAGTCTGAGCAGTAAAAATAGCTTAAATTGTATTATTAAATGGGTTAATAAATGCCTTCTGAAGCAAAAATATCCATATTTATAACTTTATAAACTATAATAACTGGCTTCGATCCAGCAGAAGGGTGACCCCTGACCCGACGTAGACATAGTGTAGGTTTGGTGAGAACTGATGAAAGCGGATTTATTATTTTTATTAACCTGAACCCCTAAAACAAAGGTTGAAATGATTGTAATACCCACAACAGAACACATTTGTACTATCAGGGTTCGTTCAAGGTGCTTAAAGTACTTGAATTTGACTTTTTTAAATTTTAAGTCCCGGAAAACCTTTGAAAATAGCCATATTTACAAAGAGCTACTTGAAAAGTGCTGGACTTATTTAAATACAATATATATGATTAATAACATTTTTCAGAAAAAACACAAATGCAATCTTTTCACGCAAAATTAACAGTGCAATTTGTTGAGGTCAATCTGTAAAGAAAGACTACACGCCTGTGCACATATATATTCAAACGCGCATTCCTATAGACTAAACAACACGTAATACACACGTGCACGCCGTCAGCGTTTTCACAGATTCACGTTTTTGAAGTTTGCGCGGAGATGATAACGTTTTTCACCATTTTTCATCGCTTGTACCTTGGAACCTGTTTCGAAGTTTGCGTTCGAGTCGCCAAACACTGTTGTTGTGCAAATGAACAGGTCGGAGCGCATTAAGAGGCCTCTAAGTTAATAACTAATGATCTTTGCGATGGAAGTGAATCAATCAAAACTAACTTTAGCTGGACAATAACTTTATTCTAGAGCTGCTGTAAAGCCAAAACAATCTCTGTTACTTTAATTTCCTATTATCACTGTAAAGCAGCTTTAAAACAATCTATATTGGTAAAAGCGCTATATAAATGAAGGTGACTTGACTTATTTTTATTATTTAATTATTTATTTATTTAACAGGGACAATGCACAATATATGTACTAGGGGTGCGCCAAAATATCGATATGGCGATATCTCACGATATTTACTCCCGCGATCGATTCTCGATGCGCTTTTGCCAAGTATCGATCTTAAAAGCCGTTATAAAACGCTCTATTCATTATCCGAGTTGACTGGATTTGACTAGCTTTCATGAGGCACACACGCAAGTCTCTCGCTCTCTCGAGCTCTGTGAGAAAGCCGTGGTTGGTGCTGGCTCGAAGCCGACACACCCCGGCGTAAACATTTTTATTACTACTGATTGCAGCAATGTTACACTAAAATAGTGTCTGTGACTGTTTTGTTGCAACTGATAAGACACAAGTTGTTTTTGTTATTGTGTTTCATCCAAAAAAATAAATGGAGATTAATTTTCCTAATTAAAAAAAAAAAATTTCTTAAAACATGATATTGTGAGTTATTACTGATAATATATCGATTATCGCAGTATCGCCATATCGTGATATTATCGGTATCGTGAACAATGTATCGCATATCGTATCGTATTGTGAAGTAGCCAGCGATTCCCAGCCCTAATATGTACTGTACCAGATTTAGCTAAAAGCTAATTCCTATCTGCAGTCCCTGGGCATTGAAAAAAAAAAGAAATAATAATAATAAAATAAAATATATATAAACCAAATATACCAAACCCCCCAAAACCATAATAAACACACCATCAATAATCCAAATACAAAAATAAACAAACTGTTATTACAAGAATTTTACCATACTGACCACATTCAGTGTCTCTCAATGACTACAAACCTGATTGTCCTTCAACCATATTTTTTGACTTGACTTGACTGACATGAGATGGTCAATGTTCCCCATCAGGTCAAAACTACTGCTCGACCAATAACGGCGGCTGCACACACTTATGTCTGGCGACCCCTGCTGGCCGATCATGCAGATGTCCCGACAACGCTGTCGGACTGGGGTGTGTGGAGCAACTGTAACTCGGCACGAACTGAAGAAGATTCAGTCACACGACCCTTCATCTGAATCTGGTGTGAAGCGCCGTCCGTCATGATCCACTGAAACATGCAATGAAGCCACACTTTCTATTAAACATTTTGAAATGCATCCTTGCCTTAAATATGCTCATGGTGCTTTAAAGAGCAAATACATGCTAATTAGGTCATTGTGAATATCTCTAACAACTAACATTATTACCCCGATACTGAGAGTATCCTTTCTAAACAAATAATGAGACAATTGTGACATAACCTGACATAAATACATGTTTACACATACAACTGTTCAATAAAATCATATTTTGTTTATTTAGCCTTGTCATATTTTTATATATTGTTCAAGTGCTTGTTTACTAATTAAAACTGCTTTTGTTTTACTCACACTCATTGTCCAAACTCTCATGCTGAGTGTGATAATGAGTCTCAGAAGGTAAATAGAGGTAAATAAAGCACTTTTGCACTGGAATGACCAGCAGAGGGCAACAGCAGCCTAAAAATCAGATCAAAATATCTTAGCAAACCATTAATATTCTGGTTATTCTTTTCTTATCTCTGTCTGACTGTTCAGATCATTAATTACGTCATATCATCATACGTCATGTTATCAAGTGTTGTCGCCACTGAAAAAATCATGAATTTCAGCTGATTTATGATAACTGGAAATGTAATAGAAGTAAATGAGTAGAAGTGATTAAATATATTGGACACCATTTAAAAATAGAAAAAGAAACAAGCATTGTGTTCTCAAACTCCCTTTCTGTTATCATAATGGAAGTAATAATGAAAAGTCTGAAAAATAAACAAAAACATTTTGAGATGAAAAAATTAATAGTGATGCATTTAAGTGTATACAAACTAGTGCTGTCAAATCGATTAATCACATCTCTATATATACAGTATATATATATATATATATATATATATATGTGTGTGTGTGTGTATATATATGTGTGTGTGTGTGTGTTTGTTTATATAATATGTGTGTGTAAGTATATATATATATATATATACACATACACAGTACACACACACACACACACACATAAACTATTATGTTTGATGCGATCAATCGATTTGATGGCACTAATACAAATATTTTTAATTATAAGATTAAATACATGCACATACAATTCATAATATTAGACATTTATGTTATGGATAGTTAAAGTGTGTATTATGGTGCTATAGCTAGTACTATAAGGGAAATGTCTGACTCGAACACTTAAATAATGAATGAATCTGTACAAAAGAATAGTGACATCATGGAAAAGTGACTTAAATCTGATCAGAGATCATACTTAAAATACGTCTAAATAATGAACTGCTTCGGGCTTTTAAAACACTCCCGCAAACATCCTCTTATTCAGACAATAAAGAGGAAAATGAAGATGCCCTGATGCCCTGTGATTGGCGAACATTATTGAGACACTGCTCAATTGCGTCATCACGTCAGCCCCGCCCACAACGGGAACAAGAGACGCACGCTTGTAAGCCCCGCCCCCTCAGGGGGGACACGATTGGCGTCATCAGAATGACTGGTGAGAGGGAGCGTCCTCAGAGGCCGCAGATTTGATTGTCAGGATGTTAGCGTCTATTCAACCAATGTCCACTTAGGATTCTGTTTTGTGGGCGTAATTTCCTGTCCTGTTTTGCATGTCATTTTTTTGTCTTCTAAATTGCTTGTGTATATGTTAGAAGGAAGACCGGAGACGAGGTACGTAAATTGTAACTTAATTGTATTTAACACGTCTTAAACGTTACGTTCAGATGAATAATACGGCTACAGTGATTAAAATGGCTGGTTGGAATTGTGCAACCTCATAATAGAAAGAAGTAAATCAATGAGTGTTAGCCTAAGCTGTGCTGCGGGATATTCTGCGTCTGCTGTTGCGTGAAATGATCCAGATCCACGCAAACATGAGTTCCTGTCTGCAGATACGAACCAAACAATCTTTATTTGTTCTGGTTAATGTATTTTGTACTGGTTAATTCACGCTAATGTTGACACCGAAGCTAATATAAGTCCCAACTTGTATTCAACAGAAAACAGTGTACTCTAATATTACTGCTTCATTTGTCTGCTTGTACTGTAACTTGACAGCAACTGTCAGCTAGATGTAATAAACTGACAGGAATAACGTACTTTTTACGTCATTGAATGCGAACTGTAATTTGCTGATGAATGGTGCAGTGCAGAGCTTAATTCGCGCCAGTCGTACATTTAAAAGTTCTATTTCATCTCTGTAGGTAGTAACGGATTTAACGGACTTTACATCTCTTAATCTGGATGGAACCCTAATGAAATGATACGTCGTTCCCGCGCATGCAGTTCGAATTTACCCGCGGGATTTTAGAGCTTCTGTTCTGTCGCTGCTGTGGATGAACCGGAGCCGGTGGCGCTCACCTGGACATGGCCAGCTCACACCTGGCTGATCTGTCCCAGGCCTGGGACAACTACATGGACTGCCGTTCACAGGGCGCAGATCTACAGGTGAGCGCTAGTAGATTGACAAACGTTGTTTGTGGGGCTTGTAAAATACTTGCTTGACAAAGCATTTAAGTCTGAAAGTTATGCAGTTCAAACAGAGGTTTGAAGTTTCAAAGCTTTGTGGTGGCTAGGGTGTATTAGACAGACATTTCCAGTGGATTTTTTTTAAAATATCTTGAATTATTGTTTTTAGAAAACAACTATCCATCCATTTAAAAGAAGCACTGTGATGCTACTACAGTGTGGTTTAATGCAGGGTTTTCAATATTTTAGATGCCACACAAATAATATGATCATCATCATTCGAGGGACCCCAAACCAAAATTTAAAAGACAGCTAGCCTATATATTTTAATGTTTAAAGACCCAATTTCTACTATAACAATGTATATTATGAATATGTGTAAAATATTACTTGGAAAATATTTAGTTTGTTATAATTTTCGTAAACGAAAATTCTGTTATTTATTACTCATCCTCATGTAGTTCCAAACCCGTAAGACTTTCGTTCATCTGACATCTAAGCAACTACCATTTTGATCCTTCAAAAAGTTCATAAAAAGATCGTAAAACAAATCAAAATGTATAGAGTGGTTTAGTCCAAATTTTCTGAGGAGACTATCACTTTATATGATCAACAGATTGAATTTAGGCTTTTATTCACATATAAACTTTGATCAGCGGACATAAACGGAAGCTCAAACGAACCTGCTTGATGCTCGAGAGCAAACCTTTAGCGGAAGCCTATCACGATAATGAACCTCATTGGTTCTTCTGAAGCTCAAACGTGCTGCGTAACACGAGAATGAACCTCATTGGTTCTTTCTGAAACTCAAACGTGCTGCGTAACACAAGAATGACCCTCATTGGTTCTTTCTGAAGCTCAAACGTGCTGCGTAACACGAGAATGAACCTCATTGGTTCTTTCTGAAGCTCAAACGTGCTGCGTAACACGAGAATGAACCTCATTGGTTCTTTCTGAAGCTCAAACGTGCTGCGTAACACAAGAATGAACCTCATTGGTTCTTTCTGAAGCTCAAACGTGCTGCGTAACACGAGAATGAACCTCATTGGTTCTTTCTGAAGCTCAAACGTGCTGCGTAACATGAGAATGAACCTCATTGGTTCTTTCTGAAGCTCAAACGTGCTGCGTAACACGAGAATGAACCTCATTGGTTCTTTCTGAAGCTCAAACGTGCTGCGTAACATGAGAATGAACCTCATTGGTTCTTTCTGAAACTCAAACGTGCTGCGTAACACGAGAATGAACCTCATTGGTTCTATCTGAAGCTCAAACGTGCTGCGTAACACGAGAATGAACCTCATTGGTTCTTTCTGAAGCTCAAACGTGCTGCGTAACACGAGAATGAACCTCATTGGTTCTTTCTGAAGCTCAAACGTGCTGCGTAACACGAGAATGAACCTCATTGGTTCTTTCTGAAGCTCAAACGTGCTGCGTAACACGAGAATGAACCTCATTGGTTCTTGCTGAAGCTCAAACGTGCTGCGTAACACGAGAATGAACCTCATTGGTTCTTTCTGAAGCTCAAACGTGCTGCGTAACACGAGAATGAACCTCATTGGTTCTTTCTGAAGCTCAAACGTGCTGCGTAACACGAGAATGAACCTCATTAGCCGCGTTTCCACGGTCGGGCCAGTGCTAGGCCAGGGCTTTAAACGGGCCGTGCCGGGCTAATAGCCTCGGGCCAGTAGCACCTGGCCTGCGTTTCCACTGTCGGGCCAGAAGCTCCACAGCGCGTCACTAAAACACGCCCGCAACACGCCTCTCTGGAACAACGTCACACTAACCCATCATTTCACCAACAAATGGAAGTTTTATCAGAAAACTAATCAGAAAGAAATCACTGGAAACAGCGTGCATCGCAAAACAAACATGATAAAAGCGGCCGTTTGCTGGCATTTTTGTTGTTTACTTGAATATTTAAAACCCAAGCATCGATGTTTTACCACAGGTTTACAATAAAAAGTGATACATTGATCATAATGAATTAATTTATGTCAAAATTGCACATTAGTCACACAGAAATAAATGACCGTTAACGTTAGGTCTATTTCACAAAAGAAAGAGGACACACTTACATTATTCAGTCGAGGCTGTTTCTGTTTATTGGTAGTTACAGGACATATCACATTTAGAAACAATGATAATTTCTACAAATAATGTTATATGCCACCAAAAATACGACCTGAGGAGCGTTAGCACAGTCTCGACTCCCAGTAGCTACAGATATATTTTCAGTCAGAGAAACAGGAAGCTCCCGAAAAAAAGTAGATAGTCCGGTATAAAGAGACTACTAGTATATGTAGGCTACTGACAGATAAAATAAAAACATGATTGTGATAGCCTTTATGATTGGTCTGACTTCTTCAAGCGTTCACCATGTTTTTTTACTATGCGTATCTTCAAGCGTTTACTATGCTTACTATGGTAATGGTTAGCGCGCATAGTCTTTTGCATCGCGTATAAATATTTCTACCTTATACGGTGATCAGAATCCACATCGGATCACAAACAGAAGGCATTAAAACATGAAAGTGAATTAAATTATTTTAAAAGTCTTTAATGCTGAGCTGACAGAATCATTCGGCGCTCCTGTCTCTCGACTCAGGTAATCCCCGCCTCTGTTCGTAACCACTCCTCTAGCCCGAGCTGGCCCGCTTTGGCCCAAGGTATTCGACGGGCCAGAAATCCTGGCCGTTGGCCCCGAGTAAGCCCCGATCAAGCCCCGGAAGTGACAGTGGAAACGCGACTGGCCCTGGCACGCACTAGCACGGCCCGGCCCTGGCCCGGCAGTGGAAAC